GGGGGGGGGGAGATGTTTAAGATACAGTATTTACATAAGAAAAGCTTGATTGTGTGACTGAAATAATTTAAAGTTGTTGCCAAATGGTTCTGCTCTTCTCTTTTCCCTTTGTAATTTTCCCTTGGAGCATTGCACCACTGTGCATTTTAAATCTTTTCCCTCCACTTCTCGTTGCAAGCTTCATCTGGGAAATGACATTGTATGGCAGTTACCTCCTTCATATCAAAAGAAAGCCTCTGCCTCTTTGCAAGAGTGAAGAAAAGTTTGTCTTCAGAGAGCAAAGGACAAAACTGACTTGGAAAAAGATGCTTTATTTAGATAACACGTTCTCTTTTCCTTTGAAGAAATTCAGAATGTGTCAAGAAAAATTAGGCCAAATAGTGCTTTAATGGTCTTCCTCCTGTACCTCCTAAAAAAGAAATCTGTTTCTACCAATTGTGTTAAGAATCTGCCATGAGTTTGGAGAATACAAGAAGCCATTGAAGTTACCCAGGGTTCTTGATTTAGGGTCTTTTTGTATTTTTTTATTTCAATACTTTATAATAATTACAAGTAGAATTTCTACCAAAACTCTCATCTTGCTACCTGGACATTCAGCTTTCCCTTCCTGTAGGATGAAATTAAGTGCTTCATTTTTTTGTAAGGGAATAAAAGTTGACAGGTACTAAAGCTGTGTAAAAGGGTGGTTGCTTTCTTGTTTCTTTTATTTGCAAAAGCAGCAGAAATGTACAGGGGACACACTGAAGAAAGTGGTCTGAGTTTTGTATTTTCCTATGATTTTCCTATGAATATATAAGTAAGTATTTTTTCCACGTGTTTTTATTCATATGTATGATTTTATATGTATGTGTTACTTATATACATATGATAATACATGCAGTCTTCAACTATACTAAGAAAAGGTAGGTAATTGTTTTATGTATTGAAAGAATAAAAGGTTTTTGTAGTTGAATCATGCATTATATTGGGTTGTCATGCTTACTTGGATTGGATTGGAAAATTAGATTATTTTCTTCCTTGTGCCTCAGTTTGTCTATAGAATTTAACAAATCAGGTACCAAGCATACTTAGATACTTCTTAGAACTTAAAAGTAGATAAGTTTTAGACTTTCAAAATACTTGGTCTGAACATGTGGAGAATTATGCAAGAGCTTCATTTAAGGCAGTTTTTGTGACAAATTTAAGTCTCGATAATAAAAGCATTATACAAGTACGGAATTAAATTTCAAAAGCAGAATAGTTTTGCTGAGGTTTCTTGTTTCAATGGAGTGGAATATGTATGGAGTTTTTTGAAAGAGTGGACATAGATGACACATAAAGATGAACATTGTTCAACACAATAACAGATGCAGGAATCAGAAACTGAGCCTATGGTACCCATTTTTGTTCTGGTCGTTTCACTGTTTATTTAACTCTGGCTAAAGGTGAGGATTGCTATTACATGGTCAAAATAGTAAGAATGATGATGCACTGGATATTTTTTTTATGCCAATGCTAAGTTCTAATTTTGATTCCCAATCACATTATTGTCTACTCATAGGGTATATAATGTGAACTGTATTTTTCTTCTGATTGATAGTGACATAGGAAGATTCAGTATACCTCTATTGAAATTAGTCTTCAGACCAATTCTGTTTCACATATATGATAATTAGCTCAAGACTAACTCAAAGCTCCTCACGTAGGTAAAATGAACTAATTGCTTGCTTTCTCCTTACAAACAATAGGTGATGTGCTCTGTGACAAACCACACCTTCAGCAATGAGGTCTGTAATGAGATATTGTATGTGTGCTTTCCTCTCTTAGGCAAGGCAATTTTCCTGCCATGAATCAGAGCGGCATTATGGGATCCAGCTCCCCCTACACTCAGCCGATGAACAACAGCTCTGGTCTGATGAACCCACAGGCTCCTCCTTACAGCATGGCACCCAACATGGTGAACAGCTCAACAGGTAATGGTGAGTAACCTTCCAGCAGTGACCTTCCTCCATAAACCTGCTTAACTCTATCAGCCCCAGGCTGGTGGCAGAGGAACATCCTTCTTCATTTGATTCACCCCTTTTGGGTAGTTTGGAGTGATTTGAAATTAGGCTAAGTTACTCACTTTTTTTTTTTGTACAGTAACTGATACATGTTTCATTAAGTCCTTCTGCACAGCACGTAGATGAGTACAGTGTTTTGTACAGTTCCAGCATCACTCGAACTCAGCTTGACGTAGGTGTTGACTAGCAAGTATATGTATATTTGTGTGTATGTGTCTGCAAAGAAGAGAAGGAGAACAGCTTCTTGTTTTAAGAGGTTGCTTTTGTTTTTCAGCATTTTACTTGCTAAGGTTGCAATTTCAGATATTTAATGTGGTAGTCATTTAAAAAAAAGATACGTGCACTTGCTCTAACTTGAAGATGCTGTAAGTTGAACACTTAACATAATACTTTGTTTGGAAAAAATAGGCCATGTTTACTGTTTCCAAAGTTTATACAGGGTTTCCTCATTTACTTAAGTATCAGTATATAAAATCTTATCTTTACTTTCTTTTGCAAAAAAAAAATTTATCATAGCTTTCTTTTGCCAAAAAAAAAAAAAGTGTATTCAGTGTAGCTCCTGGATTTATCCTTCATGTCATGACTTAAGAGTTCAGAATTGCTTGTAGCTTTGTATGTGACTCTGAGGACAGGTAAATACAGTTCTGCACAAACGTGCTTCATGGTCCATATTCAGCTTGAATTCCTAACAATTATCCCCCTTCAAGATAATATTTCAGCAAAGATCAATTCTTGGATTGGGCTGTGTTTGGATGGAGTTTCAATGACCCTGAAGCAGATCTTCCCAAGTACTTATTCCAGTCATGGAGTTTCTGTGCATGCTTTACTGATTACATTATCCCTTTCAGAAGTGTTGGGGGTTTTGAAGTTTTTTCTGAAAGCTGAATAGGTTGTGCTAAGGTAATATGATGTTGTTTCGTAGTTGTTTTTGTTTCTACTTTTGTTTGTTTCTTATGAAATGCCTTACTACCTAAGTTGTGTCTTACCAAGAACAAGGATTTTCACATCTTTTTCTCTACTCCTCTTAGCCTGTATGATTCTTTCATCCTTTGCATATTTCCCTATCTTTTCTCCCTGCCAATTCTATATGTTCTGGCTTCTTTGGAAGAAAATGGCGACAGTGAGATGCTAGTGTCTAGTATGTCCAGAGAGTTTCTTTCCTCTACACAGGAGCTGCTGAGACACTGAATAGTGTCTTATATTTCAAGAACATTTTGTTAGCATTTTAGTTAGCAGAAAAAAGGAAGCTGCTAATCAGTAAGATTTTTAAAATAGAGAGAAATTAACTAACAAAAAAAAGGAAAAAAAAGCACTTTTTCCAGTGCTGGCCTGGAAGCTATTGGCTAGCCCAGACTGCACACTGCACCATCTGGATGAAGAGGGACAAGCTATTGAAAAGAGCATTAGATAATAGCTTGCTTTTTCCCCACCAGAGCTGTCCCAGGTAATATTATGTTTTGTTTGTGTAGTTATGTGTTTTGTCTGGCTTGCTGAAATAAAATTACTTCTGAGCATTGAAACTGTGCTATAAATTCTGTTTTGCTATTAGCAGAAGTAATTTTTCCACCCTTTTCCGTTGGCCCCCAGAGCTGCAAAAATAACCAACAGCAAACAGATGGCAGAGTGCCCTGCCTAAGAAGATTTATGTATTCCTAAGGAATAACCAGTTTAAAGGAAGATTCACAGAGGTTTTTTTGTTCAGATAATTCAGCCATTCGTTATTTCATACAGTGGAAATCTGTTCAATGCAAGACCATTTATCCTAGCAGTCTTTTGTATGGGGTAGTCATACTCTTTTTATTGTGTTATGCATTCTGAAATATTGGATTTTTAATAATTTAAACATTTATCAGGGTTTTTTCTGCCAGTGCATTTGTGAGGTTTTCTTTTGTTCCAGCTTTATTAATTCAGAGATTATCCAATGGAAAGTAAGTATGAGATGAACTAGAGGAGTTCAGTGCACCTCTTTCAGTCTGTGTGGGAGCAGACACGCATCTAGAATTGCTTTATAGGCCTCCAAGAGACACTGTTGGGGAGGAGATGGGGAGATGGACACACACAACACCAAAAAGAGAAAATTAGATGTGAATACACTGCTGAGTGCACGTGCTGTGGGAATGCTTAATTTTCCCCTATCCAGACTCATGCTTCTGTTTGGGTCCAAAAAATGGAAGCTTAAGATAAGTGTAAATACAGTACTTTTAATGATAGTTCCTTGAGCTGGAGGTGCACTTCAGGGTCAGTTCTGGCCCTAAATTTGATGAGGTGGAGAACCTACAGGTGATACCCATTTAGGGGCTTGAAAACAGGGGTTTTTGTGGCTGGAAGAGCAATTCAGCTATGTGGCTCCTTAGCTCTCCCTTCCTCCCTGCCCCATTAGCGTAAAATCCCACATCTGTCAGATAAACCAGGGTTCAGTCAATGTGGAGCACCAAAACCAAGTGCAGCTGAGTGATTGCTGCTGGAGTGAAGGCCTTGGTTAACTTGCTCACCCACACTGAGCATCAACAACTGTGGTTTCAGTTAGGGGCCAATGAAAACCTAAAGTGAGCAATAAGAAGTTAGTTTCTTCATTGTCTGGGTTTTGAAGGGTGCAGTTTTGTTGCCTGTTGTGAGGAAGGCAGGTTTATTTCAATAAAATTTCATTTCATTAAAATGCACTTTTAGGTTTTACTCTAAAGTAGAAGATTGCTGATAACTGATGCAATTGTTTTCATATGGTGTTGGAGCTTCAGTACAGCTGTGTCTAACACTGGTTTTGTCACCCATTTTTAGTAGTGTTTATAACTCCTCATTACCAGTTGATCCTTTTGTCTTTGGGTTTTTTAATTAATGTCACAATTGAAAGGAAAATCATGCTGCAGTTATGCATCCTGATACTTCAACAGTGACTGTGGATCAAACAGCAGATCACCAGCTTCTGCTGATGCAGAGTGGTTTAGGAACACAGAAATTACAAGATCAAAGAAGACAGATTCTTCTAATAGAGTATTCCATCCATAACAATAACAAAAGCTTCAGGAAAAAGGTGTCAGAATCCCTTCACAATTATGGAACAAGCTGACATTCAGAAAAATTGTATAACTGCTGCTGTCCTTTTATTGTATGATTTTACATTACCTGTCTATATTTTATACTTCTTCCCCCTATTTTTCAAATTCCAGAATGCTTACTTTCCCCCTATCTGAACTCATCCTTCTTCTTGAGTCAAAAAAATTGAAGCTTAAGACTTAATTTTGAAATTTCAGCTTTAAAAATGCATATAATAAACAGGAAATTTGCAACCCCCAATATAGCTCATGCTGTGAGCTTTGTTAATTCTAGTGAAAATTATCTTTCAAAATAAGCAATATGAAGTCTGTATCTCACAGGTTTCTATATTGTTCTTGCATAGAAACTGGCATTCACAGTCTCTGCTACCTCTGGAGATGAACAAACTAATAAAAAGGCATTAATCGCCTTACTGTTCAAGTATACTGAAACCAAAACCTTTCTTTTTCTGGGTATTATTATTCCCAATTAACTTTTAACATCATAATACTTTACATAAAATGTGGAATTCTAGGCAAAATTATTTGCACAAAAAGAATTAAAGGGACACTCTTTAAAATAATACTAAAAATCATACATATGCTCTATATTTGACTTGGTATTTATTTGGATGAACCTCTAACAGGAAAAACAATATTTATGCAGGTGACATATTTTTTAGAAACTTGATTTGGTTTTTTCTGTTTTGCAGCTTGGTTGCATTTTTCTGAAAAATAGATACCTCAATTTATTTCAGGGTTGGTTTTTTTTCCCTCTAATGAATATATTTGTAGGAGCTATTAATGCACATTTAGATAAACTTTCTGAGCTTGTCAGTAGGTGGTAACAGCAGAAGTGTCCCATCACCTACACTCCAAAGAAGTGATGCCCATTTTCCCGTAAATTAAGCCAGTACCTGCATAGGAGATGCCCACATCCCAAACTGCTTCTATTTGTCATTCCTTGGACAACACTTGTCAGCAGAAAGGCAGTGGGGCACTGAGATACCTGGTGGCTGAATCATTCTTTTCAGATTAGGTCCCCAACCACCTTGGGCTGCACATGTCCACAAAGCTGGAGGATCATTCATGGCAGGACACTGGGCAGTGCTGTTGTCCCTCTTCTGTGTTTTCAGTGGGCATCAAAGCAGTGGGGATCCTCTCATCAGCTCCACAGCCACTAATTCACTGCTTTTTTCTTCTCTCTTTTTTGCAGAGGGACAGTGCAAGGGTTGGGAGAGAGGAATGTGTTACAAAGGAGGGAGTATTCTGTTCTGTAGAGCATGATTTGTTATCACACTAGCAATAAAGAGAAAAACAATGTTTGTATATTGCTGCTTCTACAGTATTTCATCATCTTCTGGGACTGGTAGCGCAGCCTTTAGCAAAAAAGAATTCTTTGCTGCAGTTTTACTCATGTCAATATCTGCCTTTGAGTACATTAAATTCAGTGTGGAATAGTTAATTCAGGACCTTGACCTATACTTGCTTTTTGAAATCATTCTAGCTCTTAAATTCTTATAATAAGCCAGAGGCTAGTACTTGAAACCTATTCACAGTACGCCACAACAGTTCTTGAGTCAAGATTTCCCTGTTATCCTCCTCTCTGCAATGTTTTCTCCTTTGGTCTTCACTTCACAGGCAGAATTATTAGTACCTGTGTAGAAAAAGACTGTGTCTTATTTTAGCAGTTTCGTGACAATAACAGTATTTCACTGCTCAGAAAGGGTCAAAACAATGTTCTCGCTGTACCGCTTAGCTAGAAAAAGTGCAAGAATGTCTTCTCGCAAATCGCTGGAGAGTATGTTTGCAAGAAGTTACGAAACAGCATTTCAACAGCAGATAGAAAAATAGCTGTGGAAACATCTTGGGTAAAAGCTATAGGGAAAATAGACAGCCTTGCAGTTTGCCAGTAAAATGCTTGCAGTTCTTCTCTTATAGGTAGAAAGAAAGAAATTATGAACTAAATAATTTAGAACAAAAAGTGAAACAGAATTTGGGTAGCCTTTTTTTTTTTCCATAATTGTCTCCAATTCCTGATAGTTACATTTGCATATGCCAACAAGAAATAGTCAAAAGCCAAAATGAACCTGTTTTTTTACCTTTCTCAGCATGACTAAGAGAGTCAGAATGTGTATTACAATCTGCAGACTGGAGTTACTAGCCCTTTATATGAGGTGTTAACTTAAACCCCTCTGGAAGAGAGATTTCATAAGGGAGTTCTGATGGAACTTTCCTGTTCCTGGAAACAGGACTACCAGAAGTGAACACAATTTTTAAATTCTTTGTAATAGCAGTATGATGTGCCAACTAGATAAAAGTGAGATATCAGCAGAGGATTTAGCTGTGCAGAATTCTGGTGAAGAAGTGTGATTATTAACTTTGCTTTGTTTGACCTCTCTAAAATTGCTTTATAGGGGAAGGGTCAGCTTTGCTTGCTTTGAAACTAAAACCCAAGACTTCTTTTTTAGCACTTTCACAGCATGAAATGTGTTAACTGTTAAAATGGATTTTGTATAACAGTTCTTCATCCCGGTTTAAAACCCACTGTGGCATATATCTGACCATTTTGTACTTCTTTTTTTTTTTAAATCTCTGAAAGAAAAATAACTATTTTTTTAATTGTGAATTCAAAACTAGAATGTGTTAGGCTGCCATCCTTCACTTGAGAATGGTCACAAGTTGCCCCAGCTCCTCAAGCAGAATGTAAGGGCAAAATGCATACAAATCAAATGCTTGGTGGATGCTGACTTCCCAGTAGCATGTTGACTGGCTGTTTTGTTGAGATTTCACACACATACATAAAAATAACAGCATTTTTAGCTGATCCCAATAGATTTTTCTCTGCAGCTGCATCACTTGTAAAAGGCTTTTTGTTCCAATTCTTGAAGTCTGAAGTATTGCAAGTATTTTTTATTTTTTTAAAATCTCAATTATGATTTATGTGTTGTGATGACTTTAAGGGCTTGATTGGGCTACAAATGTGCTTTGAAAAAACAAGAAAATGTGCCCATGAAAAACACCGGCAGTTCAAAGCTGAATATTGAGCATACAGTTGTAAACTCACATGGCACATGGCTGGGTAGGTTTTTTTGGCAGAGCCAGAGTCTCAACCTGCAGTGATGCTAAAGATATTAGCAAATTAGCACTGCAAAGCTTGCCAGCGTATTCGCTAGAGTCCTGCTCATGCTCTCACTGCTGTAATTAAAACTAATTATTTTCTAAAACATAGTAATACATGAATATGTGCAATAATCATTTTGTAGTGGGCAATCTGTGAAGTATTTTTAAAGCTTCTTTTCCCCTTCGTATCTTTGGCTCGCTGTGTGGTGTGCCTGCTGCCTGGTGCAAGCCAGCACTGTCATTTTGCAAGAGCCATGCTACCCTGGTAAAGACAATGATCCTTTACTGAGTTTTACATTTTTACATTTGGGATATATATTTTTTATTTTTTTATTGTCTTTTAGGTTATTCTGTATGTTGTTTTTTTTTACCTCATATCCTTTGAAAGAAGGGCGTAAGGGGGATTAAAAAGAAAGGGAAGGTAATCCAGTCTTCCACAAATGCTGTTCACATGGTTTTCAGCAGGCAAAGAATTGCCTGGTGTCTTGCTGCTGTTTTCTGGTCATTTGCATTGATTCAGTGTCATGGCACCTCCTAGCATCTACTCTGCCCAATATTTTCTGTCTATTTGTCTGAATGTTTCTTCGTGTATCTTTCTAGAAATCCAGGAACCCAGCAGCTCTGCAGCAGTAATACTATACTTGGCATTTGAATCTTCAAATAAAAAAAAAACCCTTTAACTCCTTTCACCCCTGGGAAGCAGCTCTATGCCATTATCAGAGAAAGACATTTGTCTGTTCGTTATAGTCCCACCTCATTTTGGCAGGAGGAAGAAGCTGAGTGCTGGTTCTCCAACAGAGCACAGTTTACAGCTTGTAATTCTGTAGTTAAGGCTCACAGTGGCTGAGCCATTCATATTGAAGTCAGTAGGGGCAGGAATTATCTGCTGGACACCAATATTAATACAGATGTAATTGGAAAATGCAAGTTTTTCCTTGGATTTAACATGGCAAGCAGAACATGCATTGTTTTCATTTACATTTGTCTGTTGCTAAAGGGAGAGTGCAGTAATTAAAATAGACTTGTAGTGTTAAAATGTTGTGGACAAACACAGAGATCGTTGGAGAGCACCAGCAGCATGAAGAACGAATTCTACTCTGTTAAGTGGTGGTTGTTGCATGGTGCTTGTATTCTTTTCTTGTTTGTTCTCCTTTGTTTCCTCAATTCGACTGAAGAGGTTTCCAGGTTTCCGGATGCTAGAATAACAGGACAGAGGTGGGAAAACCTCTCCTTCATGTGGCGCCACAACCGTGCAGCAGGAAGCGTGTTTTTGCCTACAAAGCCAAACACAGTCATGCTTAACTGTTTCTCCTGTTTTCGATTAGCACCTATGGGTCTTGCAGATATGATGACACCTGGTGAGTCCAAACTTCCCCTTCCTCTCAAAGCAGATGGCAAAGAAGAAGGAGCCCCCCAGCCCGAGAGCAAGTCAAAGGTATTTACCATCTTCCGCATGTGGTGTTGGTTCCGCCCGCAGAAGTCTGCTGTGTTGTCCTTCATCTCCTGGTTTTGTCCTACCCATTTCTGTTCTTTCTTGCATGCCTTTCCATTCATGTGCAATCTCTTTGTTTCTTTGTTTCTTTTTGTTTTTCTTTTTCTTTTTTTTCCTTTTCTTTTTTTTTTTTTTTCTTCATTGTGTGGATCTGAAAGTTACTAGTTCTTACGGCATTTTAACTTGCGGGGGCAAAGCATCCCAAGCCAAAAGTTGCGTGCGTATTTGGCTGTGCCAGGTGGGTGGGAAAGAAGGGTCTTGCCTGGTTTCAATCCTTGCAGCCATTTTTCTCTGCCTTCAGTTAAAGCTTCCTGTTTTGGCCACAGCAGCAACATACTTTAATATTTTGCTTTCATACCTTATTTGATTAAATAAGGTGAACAGCTTGTTTTTTGTTTCTTTCTTTCATAATGGGAAACCCATGCTTATCATTTCATGTGCGCTTGAAGTAAGCATGGTGGCTTAGTGACTTTAGCCAAGCATCCAGCAAACTTTCCAAATTATACTAATTAACAATGTTGTTTTAATACCTTTTATATATATATATAAATATATTTATATATGTGTGTGTTTTCTGTATGTGTCTCTCTGTTTATATATATTTTATATATAAAAGTTGGTCAGTCTGTTAAACTGGATGTATTTTTTTTTGTTTTTAATAAAGTTTGCCCTGCCTTTGTCATATTTTTTTTTTTTGTATTCCTCTACCACAGGATAGCTACAGCTCTCAGGGTATTTCTCAGCCCCCAACCCCAGGCAACCTGCCAGTCCCTTCCCCAATGTCCCCAAGCTCTGCTAGCATCTCCTCATTTCATGGAGATGAAAGTGATAGCATTAGCAGCCCAGGCTGGCCAAAGACTCCATCAAGCCCTGTAAGTGGCTCTGGTTATTTTGGTTTTTGTTTATTTTTTGTAATTAATTATATTTTAATGCTTGCTTGTTTGTTTTGTAAATTCCTTTTCTTTATTATTTATCCACTAAACAGTTTTCTTTCTTTATAACACTGGGTACAAATTCTGCTCTCGGACACATGACTGTAAGTTCCACTGCCTGGCTTCAGTGGGGCCTGAGCATGCTTATCCAAGGGCAAAATTTGTTCCAACAGTACTTTGAAATAAGAAAGAGTAAAATTGTGTGCATCATGTGAGTGTGCTGTCTGGTAAAACAGCAGTTGTTGTGAAGAAAACATCCTTCCTGTAATGCATCAGCTTCCAAGCATGCCAACTGTGTTGTTAAGAACAATTCCATTTCTGTTCCTGGGCCCAAACTCCTTCACATAACTGACTTCACTCTGGTTACTGCACTTGTCTTTACTAGGATTATTTAGGGGAAAAAAAAAAAAAAACAAAAACAAAACAAAAAACAAAATGAGAAATCTTCTCCCCTACTGAAACAAATACCCATCAAAAGTCAAATTATAGACTCAACATCACAAAAAAGTTGCCGTTTATATTTTTGAAACATTTTTAATTTTGAATTGTGTATTTGGAAATACAGCCATTAGACTGTCAAGGCACAGTCTAAACCAAAATTGTTTCTAAATTTGCTTCATTTGGTTATTTTGAAATAACCCAGACATTGAGCTGAAAAAAGACCCTGATGCATGTACATTTTTAGAAAACTATTTTGTAGATGAGTAATGTTTAATCATTCTCATACAGGTTGTAAAGAAAAACCTGAGAGAGATGTGTGGAGCTAAAATCAGATTTCATCATGTATCTTTTTATCTATATATATATATATATGCACACATCTAGAAAATCTGTATGCATATATAGAAAAGAGAATGCAGATGTAAGACGATCTTCGGGGAGCAAATGTCCATCTGGTCATTTTTGCTTTGTTTGTTTTTTTTTTTATAATTAGGAATATATATGTTGTTCCTCTTCTTTTTATCAAAAGTGGAAATGATCGCAATTTCTCGGTAGAAAAATAATGTAACATTCTTGTGCAGAATGTAAAGGGGGTTTTCCCCAGTGTTAAAGTGCACTTAAGTTAGCAATAATTCCTTGGTAACAGTTTTTTCAAAGTGATATGTTAAAGAGTATGTCTCAGGGCAAGCAGAGGAAGGCCAGTCAGAGGGGAAGAGATCTAACTATCCAAAACCCAAGACATTTACAGAATCCCCTGAGCAAGGGGGCAGCATGGCATGAAATGTACCACTTAAATCTTTGGATTTTGATTTGACAGCAACTTTGAGTCTCAGAAGGCAGCTGATGTTAATTGTTCCCACAAAGCCTCATCTTTTTCTTACAAGCATTTGTGAAAGGGTGACACCAAAAATTCTGTTAGTTTTCTTTGTAGTAATGTTTGGGGTATTACTTGTTTGGGCAGTTTTCTGGAGGAAAGCAAGAGAGTTATTGCAGTGCATTCCTGAGCTCATTGCATAAACTGCATAGCAAATCCTGGAGTCATTGTGAACATAGGCAGAGATTTTTTTGTGTAAATAAAGTATAGATTATTGACAGAGTATAACATGGGAAAAAAATAAATGAGGAAAGTTTGCACTTTCAATTTCTTCTGAATGTCCTTCTCTCCAAAAGCTTCAGTTAGACACGGATAAATACAGTGCTTTGGAATGATAGAAAAGTAAGTGCTGCAAATGAGCTGATCCCTTTTTACCTATGAAGGCCAGTGGATTGGATAACTTCATCGACTTCAACAGCAGCTTGACATAGACTGGAACGATTGATTGCAGGCATTTCGTTACACTTGAAAACAGCCTGAATTGGTTCATTAAATCCCAAAGCCGTTTCATGTGCTACAACTTCTCCATTCCAGTAGAGGATAAAAGCAGGGGTGAATGGTCTCTGATTCACTTCAAGGTACCCCTGTGATACTACTAAGTGGATCCTCTCTTTCAGCTGTTTCCTGTGGAAGGGAGGCATGAGAAAATGGGGAGAAAAATGTTGAACGTTAGGTTTTTAGGCCTCTTTGGGTATGCCAGGAAAAGGACACTTCTGCTATGCCACTTTTGCATATAAGTGCATCCCTGATAGTGGTGAGATAGTTCTAAAATTCTCTAAAAGAGACATTTCAAGTGTGGGTGTAAATTATGCAAGGTCACTGCCACGTGAGTTAAACAGTAGGTTGGGAAAACGCCATAAAATGCTTTTCAGTGTCCATAGATAACCCATGAGCATGACAGTGAATACACCTGGACAGTACTACACCTCCATGGTGCTAGCCAGGAGGGGTCTCCAGAGTCCTTCAGGAGAAAATCTTGACAAAGGAATGTGTCCTGCACAAGCCTCTGCCAGGGATTGGACTTGGGAAGTTTTAGCTGCCTGTGTGTGCACGCTTTGTCCTGTAGTAAGAGAGGTCTGTGTAACACATGTAATATTGGCAAATTCTTCATTAAAGTCAGGGAAGGGAAGAGTAGATAACTGTATAAATATAGAGCCTTAAAGATATGTGCAGAAGCAGCTACCCACTGCCTTTCATGTGAAAATAACTCCTACAGAAATTTGTGTTGCTCTGAAGGATTCTGCAGACTCATCATACAAGGGTCTGCATATAATACAGTTTCAATAGTGGGTAGGTGTATTGAAAAGAAAGTATGGGTTTCGACAGGTTTAGTATGGGAATTGGATTTAGTATCCACATACTTTGATGGAGTTTTTTTAATCACCATTTAAACACTGCCAGTATATCATGTGGAAGAGTGCTGGGGATTGCAGGCAGAGTAAATAACTAAATCACTAAAGATACGTGCCACAGGCTTGCACTAGCATTCTTCTGTCACCAAAATTATCAGCATACTTAACCAAAGGTCATGATCTGTGTTCTACCAGCAATGCCTGGGATGTGCTCATTTTAGTTTAAAATGGGATCTTTCTCTTTTAAACCCTTATTTTATAAGGGTTAATATTTAATATTTATAGGTAAATTTAGGCTTCCAGCTGAACCTGCCCGTGTGAAACTGAAGTTTGTTTGTGTGTAGACTAGCTTGCACACATCTGTCATTTTTAGCCGTTTACATTTATAAAAATAGAGAAGAGAAAAAGATCTTTCCTCTTGAGGAATTGCATTCTTCCCTCCAGTGCATTCTTCTAAAGTTAACATTTCATTTTAGAAGAAAATTGCACCCATTTTACAAAGCATGACAACCTGAAAGCTCACACAGTAAGAAACACTTCTTACCTTCTGTAAGCTGTGAAAAGTTTTCAGATTATACTGTCATTTTAGAGCTTGCTGCCACACTGCTGAAAAGCAGCATCATTTGAGATGTATAGCAGAAAAATGCAGAAAGAAAAATTCTTAACTGTTTCCCTTCTGCTCTGAATCTGATTTGAAAAAGTGAATCTTAATATATAAAAATGAAACTCTAAAACTGGTAAATCTCAACTTTCCTGATCATGGCTCACCATAAAAGTGAGATAGAAACTATTTTGTTGCCTCATGTTAGAATATAGGCACATAGAAAATTTGCTTGGTAAAAGCTGGAATTTCCCACCTTCGTTTTTATAGAGTTCTGGGGTATCTTAACTGTCAGATTAAAATTGATGCTGGTCAGCAGTAGAGTAACTTCGTAGTTACTGCAAAAGGTAGTGGGGTAGTTCCAGTTCATTCAGTTGTCCAAGCCTGTCTGTGCTCATGTATCTGGCGCTCACCACAACATCAAATTAGTGGCAACATGACTTCCCTACTTTCCCCTTTCCACCCACCCAAAAAAACCTTCCCAAACTTTGACAAAGTGTATTTGTTGCTAAGAGTTAAACTGATTCTCTTGAACACTCAGATACAGAGCAAGTCATACTTTCAGTAAATTGGTTGCTATTACAGAATCAGTTTGTGCTTTCTTTGCATAATTTGCAGGATTCCTGTCAATATACTTCCTGCCAGCCACTTAGTATTAATAAAACAAATTTAGCCCTGACTCTCACTTCAGTAGGAGTTGTAACGCAACTAAGTCTGGCTGAAGTAAATTCAGGCATGCACCTCGTTTCTAAAAAAGGTAATCATATCTCCCTGTAGGAAGGATTGCTGTGAAGAAGTTACAGTGTCAGCAAGGCAGAAATCTTTAAAGGAGGCTGTTTATTTAATTAAAATGAATATCCATTCACTGGAAAGAACAGCAATGGCTCATGGAACTGCTAGGTCACCCCCCTTGGCTTCATGTTTCTTCTCTCCTGACTATCTTCCAGTTTTGCCAAGTTGCAGCTGATAGCTGGAAGGAGATAGAGAGTCTGTCATATTTTCCAGGCTTACATGCAAGATGAATGGTGGCAATGCTCTTGATGATTGGCAGTGGGGTTCTACTCTGCTTTTATGAGTTGAGTTCCAGGCCTCACCACTATGTGGGGACAAGGCCAAAGTTAGTGGTTCTGTAGCATCTGTGAGGTACAGAGAGGATCTTTTTAGAGATGTTCAATTAGGAATGAGTTTCTGTTTACTTGACAATAGTCTGTCTTCAGTTCAACGTAAGGAAAAGGCAAAGGAGGGAAAGAGTGATTGACTAGATGAGTTTTAAGAAGTGTCTACTGCAATCAACAACAAAGTTTAGGTTTTCACTATACAGACATAAAGGATATGTTTCCTTTCACATATTTGGCTCCTTTCCCAAAACTTTATGTCAGTCTTTCTCCCTTGTGTTTAATTCTGAACCACTCCCATCTTCTACTACTGAGCAAATCAGTTCACACTCTGCAAGTAGGAGGGTCCTCCTGCTGTAGCAGCAGCCCCTCTCTGCTGTCAGAGCTGAGGCAGCTTGGGTAGGGTCTGTGACAGGGTCTGTCCACACATGGCACAGAGCCCAGCTCACAGGGTTACATAGCACAGAAAAGATGGGGTGAGAATTTATAGCTTCTGTAGCAGCCTCAGTGCTTTCTGCTGTCTCTACATTAAAAAAAAAGAAAAGAAAAAAAGAGAATCAAACATAGCATGAGCTTTCATTAGCTGTAACTCCCAAAGAGCAGCAGGAAAGCAGGTTCACTCCCGCCTTTTTGCCACAGAGATGGAATTCTGCTCTTGCCACCTCTTCTTCTTTTCCTGGTGGTGTCTCAGCTCTGATTGCTATCCATCCTTGGTTTTCCCCAGGTCATAATACACATTCCCTTTGCAAGGCAGGACAGCTGAGATGGATATCATCTGTACTCTGTCAAGGGAGGAGAGTAGTTGCTACTTACAAGCCACATTGGATCAGGCAGCTAATTGGCACTTCACAAAGAGTATTGCCACCTATCTCCTGGTACTGTAGGTGCTCTTGCTCATCTTGCTTTCTGGCCACAGTGGTGTGAAGTGGTAATAAAGCATAACCATTTGTGACTCTGAAGAGAGGACTACTTCTCCATGTACTAGTTTGCCATGATTCACACTTCAGGCTATTTTTGTGCAATTCCTGCTCTGGAGGATCACTTTCAGGTTTTCTAGTTCATCTTTGAGGGCAAAGAGGAGAGGCTTGGTTTGGTTTTAGGATTTTCTAAACTTGTGTGGGAAAAGCTTGTTTCTAATTTTACCAAAATAGTTGCTTGCAAAGCACTTTAAGATAAGTGGATGAGAAGCACTCTGTGAGAGCTACCTCTTCTTAAGATGACATGAGGCAACATCAGAAACTTGCCTTCTGGGATCCAAAGTTCAGATCAATGAAAGAAATATGAAAATGGGGAGTTTGGGCCCTTTATTTATAAAGCTGACTTTTCTGTATATGGACAGAATGTACTGTTTGTGCCTGAACTAGTAGCCTTCATTCCTGACTGTTGTGTGATAGCTTTAGTTTGTTTGACATCTTCTCTTTTTCAATGTTGTGAGTTTCTTACTTTCTTTTCCCTTCCCCTCCCACCCTTCCCCCAACTCTTTCTTTTCTTCTTGCAATTTAGAAATCAAGTTCCTCTACCACAACTGGAGAGAAGATCACTAAAGTCTATGAGCTAGGAAATGAGCCGGAGCGCAAGATGTGGGTGGATCGGTACCTGACATTCATGGAGGAGAGGGGCACACCTGTGGCCAGTCTGCCAGCTGTGGGCAAGAAGCCCTTGGACCTGTTCAGGCTCTATGTCTGCGTCAAAGAGATTGGAGGTTTAGCACAGGTGAGAAGAGCTGGTTAAAAATGAACCTTCAAAAAGTCTATTCTTTTTTTTCTACAGTATTCCTGCTGGATACATCATTAGGTTTTCTGCCCTGACAATATTGTTGAAGAAAATGATTCCATGGTTTGATAGCTGTCTGGAGTTCATTTTGGGCTGCATAATGGCCCTAAAACTTTACAGTTTAAATCAAGATTGACCACTGCTGTAGACAGATGAAATTGTTGCTTTTTCAGGGGAATCTATTAATGCTGCTGAGAGAAGAAAAGAGGAAAAGGCCACTGGATCAAAATTATGAGTAAGAAGCAGATGACAGAGCTAAAAGGAAAAGGAAATTTTTAAGTCCACCTTTCCTATATAGAGATACAGCCTGTAGGACAATTCAGTTCATCTTTCCAGAGAAGCTGCAGATATATTCTTAAAACACAGTCCTTCATCCCAAATCTTTAAGTCCCTATATGGTATATATGGTGTCTCTATATGGTATATTTGTTTCTTAGACATGGACTGTGCTTTGTTTGGAAAATGCTTACAGTATATTTTGGGTTACCTTGCAAACATAATGATTCCAAGGAAAAGGTGAGTTACCTAAATGAGTTGAAGAAAAATGAAAGCAGGAAGAGCTGAGAATAAAATAGTCACAGATGAGAAATAGAAGCCTTCATTTGTATTCTCACCAGTTAAAGTTTTGCAAAGGGACATTGGAAAAATACTCATGAATTCTATAAAGCTGTTCACCAGAGAGCAAAATGAAATGTTTCACTGTTTAGCATCTAAAGGGAAAGCAGGAGAAAATGGTCAGTACTTGCAGCCTTAGATTTGGCATTTGAAGTCACCTGGCCTTGCCGGATGCTTGTACAAAGCATCCCTTGCAACTAGGGGATCACTGGCTAGACACCAGAAACTATTGTAAAGTGCAGAGATCCATGAGTTCTGTGTTTATGAGAACATTTGTTTAGTATCTTGCAAAATGAGGTCTTAAATACAGCTAACATGTAGATAAATACACATGTGTAATATTATATAAAATGTGATACTGAAACATACAATTCTACACTAATTACAAAATCTGAACTCAAAAATATGGCAAACAAATCAGATTCTCAAAAAGATAACTTATTTTCATAATCTATGTGGTTAGTTCAAGAAAGGAATGTCCAACATCAATTAGTACCCCTTTCAAAGCTATTTTTAACAGTGCACCTCACAACATAGGATTTGACTACTGAATTAGTTCATTCGCCCTTCAAATCCAGGGATTTTAGCTATTATTATTAAAGGAAGGGAGAGAAACCTAATATAGTTCATTCTACCAATTGTTAAATGCTGCATATTGGTAAGAGATGTTATCCTGACATTTTCAGTGATCAGCTCATGCCCCTCAGCATCATACAGAATTGATTACTTTTAGCTCAGAAACTTTATTACAGGTAAATCGTATCATGCAGCTGCTCTGCCTTGTACAGTATGATTGTGCCCACAGTATGACTGTTAGCATCAAAAATTGAGCAAGATGGGGGGCAGATGGGATATTCTAGAGAGTCATTCATGTTTGCTTATTATGGAAATTTATTTTATTTTGGGACATTCAGTGTTGATTTTCAGTGACAGACATTATGCTTTGCCAAAGAATAGATGCTGTTCACTTAGACTGATTTTTGAAAAAGCTAAAGTTACAAATGTGTATGCTTCAGTACTAGTGAAAATTTACACTTAAAATGAGGGCTCCTGGTTTTTCTGGTGCATGCACATGAATGGTCACTATGTTTATCTGTTTAGAGCTACTCAGAGGTTCAGAGCTTTGCTTAATGAGTTTCATTTAAATGCCCTCCTAAAAAGCTGTTGCTCCAACTGCTGCACTCCAAATCTCGTGACTCTGCCTGGAGAGTGTCAGTGGGTGGAGCTGTGCAGCAGTGGTGCATGTTCCCTGTCCGAGGAGTTGCTGTTGATGGGGTCCCAACATGAACAGACCAGCTGCTGGCAGTCTTCTTTTAAATGCCAATATACTGGGCATTTAGGCATGAACATTTCTGTTTGCATTATGCAATGTGTTCATTACGCACCACTTAGCTGTAAGCCAGTAGGCACAAAGAGCTGTGTAACTGGATTTCAAGCCTCAGCAAGGGCAGTTTATGAAAATCTGGTCTCCTTTAACTCCTGGGTTCTTGCAGGATGTACCAGAGAAATAAAAACACGTGGCATAGCCATGCCAACCTGCTTGCTGTTAATGCCATCCTTAAAAGATCTTTGCTGACTGGCAGCAGTTACAGTGTTATTAAACACTGAGAGAAACTTAAGAAAATGTTTTCTTTGCTGGCACACAGACTAAGGAATAGTATGGCTAATGATAATCTTTCTAGCTATACAAGTTAAGATAGAGTCATTAAAATATCAGGCCTTAGGGCAAGTAGCAGACATCATGGAATCAGAATTGCTACCCAGAAAAGATGAGATTTCTCAGGTGTTTAAAGCCAGTTTACTTTGGTGCTGACCCTGCTCCTTGGATCATACCTAGAAATTGCATAACTGGTTGAATGAATTTAAAGGCATCAGGTGTTACAGCAAAAGCAGTGGCTGCTACGAATGGTACAGCTGAGTGAGTCAGTGGCATCACCCAGGATGACAAATGAACTTCGCTATTATTACAGATCAGCTGTGTTTGAGGAACTCATGAGCAGAGTCTTTCAATATTCTCAGCCTTAAACTGCAAACAAGACTCACAGTGGAGTGGTGCAGTCAGCATTGTAATACAGAGTATTGCTGGACTAGCCATGAGTGTTTGAAGTCTGCCTTAATTAATTAAGGGGCCTGGCTTCACTCTGCCTCTCATCTAGCCAGAGGATCATTGATCTGTCCCTGCAAGATGCACTAAAGTGAAAGGAATTGAGCCAGGAGTTACAAGCTGAACTGTTTGACAGCTGGTGGCTATTTGGGAGAAAAATTTATTTTTCATATCAATGTTCAAACGAATTGCAGAATAACACTGTTATTGCTTTCTAAATTATATTTTAGAAGCTGCTTTTTAATTAGAATGGGGTGGGTGTGGGTGGGTGTCAGGGAGGGAGTGAGCAGGAATTTGCTTGGAGATGGATTGCTAACTGAAGAGCACAGGCCCTGGAAGGGCGTAAGACATTTAAAGGATGCACCATGCAGAAGACTCCACGAGCAAAGCTTTTTATGTAGCTATCAGCAGGTTCCTTAATGGCTTTATAACTGTAAATGCTGTCTGTGCATTACTGTGTGTGGGAGTAATGAGCATTAGTTAAAAGAGGAAAATAAAAAAAAGTAAACCAAGACATTAAGTGCTTTTTTTTTTTCTTTTTTGTTTCCTGACTTAAACAAAGCGCTTTGCTGCAAACCAATGATTCTGCCGTTTACTTTGCTAGGTTAATAAAAACAAGAAGTGGCGTGAGCTGGCAACCACCTTGAACGTTGGCACTTCGAGCAGCGCAGCCAGCTCCCTGAAAAAACAATACATTCAGTACCTGTTTGCCTTCGAGTGCAAGATTGAGCGAGGGGAGGAGCCCCCTCCAGAAGTCTTCAGCACTGGAGATACCAAGAAACAACCTAAGATTCAGCCGCCATCTCCTGGTAAGCCAAATAAACTGCAGCCTCTTACACAATCATTTTTTGAATGCAAGGCATACTAGGTAGCTGCACCCTGTATATTTATAAGCGTGTCTTGATAATGCTGGATAAACAAGGATAAACCTGTTGTTGGCATCTTGTTCTCAAACTTGGAGCCAGCTCCTGAGTCAAATCAGAGTGAAATCTTCAGGGCCACCACAGCTGTGTGTCTGGTTCGTCCTGCTCACTCCAGCTTACGAAGACGTGTGTGCCAGCGTACCCTTAACATCGGAGACATGGGTGTAATAAAAAGAACAGAGTTTTGCACAGATGTTAAGACAGGAGCAGGCATTTGTCTAAAGGTCAGGCTCTGGTACCTGCCCTTTCCTTGCTGTGACTGAAGCTGCTTTTCAACACAACTGTTGATCAGCAATGCTTCAGTTGGAGCAGGATGGCAGATGCTGGACTGATCAGCGTGTCTCAGATGGTTGCTCTGATGCAGCTCGTGTTGAATGTGTGACAGATGGAAAGCTGAGGGTACGGTGTATCCCCACTGCCAGACACCCTAGTTTGCAGGCATGCTCTCTGCTCTTTTGTTGCTAATCCTGTGTATCAGGTAAGTCATTAGGATCACTGTTTTTATCTTCTCATCTGAAAAATTGGAGCTGGCATTGCTTTATTTTGGCTGTTCCTTCTTCCATTTATGGTGTGGTGCTTGAAACCACTGTTTTCTTTCTAAATGCATGTCACTTGAGATTCTTAAGATTTGATAGTCACAGTTGATACTGAATGAAGGACTATTTTTAAATAGAAACATTTTAAGTACGTAGGAAGAGTCATAGTATTAGTCTAGATATTGCCTTCTGGACTACCCATGGAAGAGTAAAAAAATCCTTTAATTATTTTGGATTATTCCTTTTGTTATTAGTTTTTCTGACCAACAAAATAATTTGACAAAATTTGCAAACTACCGCCACAGTTACTATTAGGCAGACCACCGTCACTTACTGCCAAAAGAATATATAATTTCTGGGATGTTTACAGCAGTTTCCTGCGGTAGAACACAGTTTTAGGAAAATGTCAATTAACCTAATTTCTGTTAGTGCAGTTCACTGGCTGAAAATGGGAAGTGGAGAGTCAGAGACCCAGCAAGCCCTGCAGACGGTTTGCAATTGCATGACTTCAGTACCCTATCATGGACACTGGAAAATTGCAAAGACCTTTATAGTCATATAATAAAGTTCTGGCCTTTCCAAGATTATCTCTTACAATAATGCTTTCTCAGTATAGAAAAAGATAACAGTGATAAGGCTTAAATCTTTCTCAGACTGTTTCATTCAGTGTAAGGATTTGAGGGAGTGTTTAGTTAAAATCTTCCTAAGCACATCTCTGTGTAATAACTTAAATATTTCCTTCACCTTGTTAAAACCTAGGGTTATCAGGTACCCCGGTGGTGATTGTTTAATAGAAAGGACTTGCAATTTAATTTTAGAAAATAGAGAAAAACACTCAGTACTAGAAGCAAAGCCCATAGTCCAAATATTTATCTGTCTGAAATAAGCACAGAGTATCCTGAATGTGCACAGCTTCAAAAAATAAAATATATATGCCCGTCATCTCCTGAGAAGACTGGTAAAGAAAGCTGAAATAGTTAGGCTTGCTAACTAAGGACAGTGAAGAAGAAATTAATCTGTCTCTAAAAATGAAAGAGTATTACACTTTGTTCTCTCCTCCCTTACCTCCTCTCTCCAATACTTCTCTCAGTAGTTGATTTGGGGATGATCACCATAAATCAGCTAAATTTCGAGATGAAGAATTGCTATTTAAATATGTAAACATGAAACACAGGAATGGAAATGTCAGCTGTACCACTTTACAGGGTCCTTTTGCATCACGACGCTACAAATGAAAATGGCAAAGTCCAAGTTTAAATTTATCATAACATTCAAGCAAGCTGTCTTTGAGGAGAACTGAAACTATTTTTCTAAAATAAAAGCACAGCAGGACATAGAGACTAGAAATGGAGGAAGCAAGCAAGGATCTCAAGGTTTGTTTTGTTGGAGAGAAAAGAGCTCGTGTCACTGAATGGGACTGCACTTCTGTACAGAGAAAGGCTTTCCCAGTGTGTATCAGCTTTAGTACATGAAATCCCGCTGAGGTATAGATGCCTCAGAGAGTACAAGCCTGTTCTCTTTAATAGTCAGCTTTTTTCTTGTTCCTTTTCCTTTAGTATATACCAACATTAACATTTTAGCTGCACAAAAGAGGCAGAGTTGTAGACATACTTTAGATAATCTGTCACTGTTTGGCATTCAGAGGAAACAGGAGCCCAATACAAGAAGAAACAGTAGCCTCCAAAGGTCCTTGCTTTAACCATTAGCCTCTCTTGTGCAGTTAGCTCAGTGTAGGCAGAGCCACTTGGAAGCCAAATCCATTTGCAGAGAACTAGTTACAGTATTAGGGCTGAAGTTAATCTGATGGAAAAGCAGAAGGACTTGACTCAGAGAGGAGAGTGTTGTATTTTGTCCAGTTCTAACAAGCTGGTGCTATGAAACAGGTCTTGAGATCTTAAAAGTCAGCTGAACTTCATACAGCTTTGAAAATAAAATATTTCAGTTGCTCATAAGAATACATCAGGACTAGCAGCCTTTACAGTACAGAGAAGGATTCAGTTCCAATGTCATCGTAGTTCCCAGGTGGGTGGTTATGCAAGGTGGGAGCAGGCTGAAGTGCAGCTTAGAGCAAATCCGTTCTTGCAGATATCTCACATCCAAGGGGTGGTTATGTGACTGCCTCACAGATGACCTTTAGAACACAGGCATAGAGGAGTGCTAGGAAACACGATGTGACAGCCATGGCGAGGAGGTTCATATGGAAGAGCACGGTCAAGAAAAGGATGTGATGTGTAAGTCAAATTTATGGGACTGTGAGACAGTGGTCTGGGATCGCGTGTCCATTTGTTTGTAGCACTATATTCAGGATTCTTCTGTCACTTCTGGTTTTTAGAATATCACTGTTAAGGTAAATGGTACATAAAGGAGTGAATAATTTAGTGTTGTGTACAGTGAAATTCATGATAGTGTCAGCAATTATAAGTTGAAAAAAGGAGTGAGAGTAGAGCAGCAAAGTGACTCTGGTTGGCCTTAATCAGCAGAGATTTGCACAGTAGCCAAGGTGTTAGGGTTAGGTGTTAATTTCAATAGTCCTTACTTCATAGAACTGTCAGAGCCTCTTCTGCTCTTTCATAGAGCTCCTGGGGAGGGGTGGGGGCCTGAATGTGTTAGTGTGCCTTGCACTGCTCTGAGGCTGTGCAAGTTGGTGACGCATTTGTGGTTGGCTGAGGCCTTTGTGTCAGCCTGAATCTGCCTGGGTCAGGTAATACCATCAGCAGCGAAGGACAGCAGTAAATGCCTGATGACAGAATGACTACTGGGGGATCCATGGTGGCCTTCTGTCCTGATCATTGGGCCTGTGCCAAGGTCCATGTCAACTGCTGATGACTTTAGCTGCGTAAAAACTCCCTTAGAGAGAGAAGCATTGTAGGTCTTCCTTCTTTCCAGGAGTGGGTGCAAAGACAAAATGCTTTTCCTGTCATGTGCATTTGATAGTTTTTGACCAAAATGCTCACAAATAATGTGGGCAGTTCTAAACTGAGAAGAATTCTAGGCACCATTACTGTAAGCACTAATGGATGCTGGAGAAAAAATTCTAAAGGAGCATCAGCATGAAGGAGTCGTCTTCCTTTGCTGTACTCTGGCACTCAGTTGCAGTGTGCAGTTATGTGTGCACAACTCTCAAAATAAGAGGCTCAGAATTTATCCTGTGTTGAATGAACAGGATGGCCAAAGTGGTCCAGCTGAGGATGCTTGTGAGTAACAGCAGCTGGCCCTGATGTCAACAGAGATTTCATTAAAGCAAACCTGGGAAAACCATACGCTTGTGCTGGACAGAGGGAGCGAGAAGGCGCCAGGAGTGTGTTGCCTGCGTTTCCTTGGCAGCAGAGAAACGAGACTTGGGGAGGGGGCTGGCGGGGGGGACACGACGCGGCACCGCAGGACACAGCCGTTCAGTGAGTGCGCCTGTAACCAAACCCATCCGTCTCTGCTGGCGGGTGGCTGACTGAAGTGCTATTATTAGCAGGCAGGTGATGTCATGGAGCGTGTCATGAGGCCAGCCAGGGAATCCCCACTGAAGATGGATGGCCAGGGGCTGGGAGGGGTGGCTGGGGGGACAGGCGGAGGTGGCCCTGTGGCTGCATCCACGCCTGCCCGGGGGGGCCCTGCAGCAGCCAGCAGCCCCCAGTCCAGCCTAACTGGGGCACTGGGTTCATGCTGTGTAAATTATCTTCCCAGCGTGGTGGCTGGCTGTTCGCTCTGAAGTATGTGAATGTACTTAACCTTCAGTAACCTTTCCATTGTTTACTTTAGAGTATACATTTGTAGCTTCTGGCAAAAGGTAGGGATATCCTAGAGAGCATGTCAGGCCTCACATTAATGGAGTTTCAAGAGGCTTCATTCTTCTTTCCTTTTCTTTTTTTTTTTTTTAAGGGAAAAAAATTGCTGGCAAGAGGAAGGTTTTATTTCTTTTTTTAGCTGCATATTTCTTCTCTGGTAAATAAAGAGTCTCTCCTGAAAGCACTACTTAGTGCTATGCAAGCTTTGCAAGGCAAAAGGCATGCCAGTACTATAATTCCATGCTACAGAGAATAATGTGTGCTATCATGTGTTATTAACTCGTACTTACACAGCAAACTGTGGAAGACCTCACCTTCTCACTGACCAAGATGTCAATTGTATTTAAGTTATGATGTATTTTGTATTGTGGAAAGCATATTCTTACAAATCTGTTATGATACTTGAAAGACAATTATTGCTTAGATGTGGATGTGAGACGAGGAATTCAGTAGCTATGAACCCACCACAAATACGTTTTTCCTGGACATCCCCAAGATAGCTGCAGAATCATGTCAGCGGAGATTTCTTTTTCTAAGAGAACATTATTGTTTGTCTTCCTTCTTAGAGCTTTGTTTAATACTGAAGCTTATGAAGCACTCTAAAAGGTACTCTTTCAGAATGTCCACAATCAAAATTAAACATCTAACATAATAAAATTCCTGCAAAAACAGATGTAAAAATTTCAGAGTGCAGCCCAGCAAATGTAAAATTTAAGGTGAAATAGGAAATACAGGCTCTTCTTGGTAGATGGAGTCCTAATCCAGAGACTGAAACGCAGTTCTTATTCTGTAGAAGTGTCCCTAACCCAGTGGAGGTCAGGGGCAAAGTGTATTAACAAAACAGTACCAGAAACTTTGCACTTCTCATGACAGCATTTGGCTTCCATTTTTTCAGTTGTATATAAGCAGTCATTTAGAAAGAGGCTTGAGGAAAAATAATCAACCTTTTAACTACACTCTGAAGATAGAAATTGGACTTGTAGCTTCTCAATTTGGTATCTTCTTTTTTTCTTTTAAACCTTTTTTTATATAAAACACACTGTCATGAATAATTTTGCATTTCTGTAAACACTGAAAAATCTTTTACTTTTTTCCTTTAGGTTTGCTAGAGATATGAATTAAGCTCTTGCTCAGGTAGGATAGGGAAAAGCTTAATTGCTTCTTAATAGCCCACCATAAGAGAAATATGCAGGGTTAGGCAATATCCGAATTTACAGTAAGTATATGGGTACACTAATATGTTTATTTACATGTTTCTAATACAGCAAGATAGTATGTGACAGTCAGAAATGCTTTCAAGCTTTTTAGAAGAATCTAGAATTATGTTTAAAGCTCAAGGCCAGAAGAATGATCTTGACCAGCTTGGGGGTCATATATACAAAGAGCTCATTTTATGTGAATATGATGGGTTTTTTTGTTTTATTATAGCACTAAAGCCTTGAGCTAACAGTAGACTATAATGTAACTAACATTAGTGGTTGCAAATGTTCTTGTTCCTGTATTAATGCAATCAGAGAACTTTTCCTAAACTTTTTTTTTAACCTCATTACTATGTAAGCATAATTCAAAAATGCCTCAGAAAGCTGAGGACAAGAACAATGTGGTCCACACAATGTGGATTTTACATATGCACTTGCTTCTGAGACTGATTTCCAGATAGAGGAACATGTGTTACAGATATAAATGAATCACATATAAAAAAGGTGTTCTTCAGTTAAAAACAAGCTCTGCCTGTCAGGATGATGAGTGTTCTAGGATTCTGAGCCAATTATAAACTACTCTCTTTCATATACGGAAGAAAAACCCATACTGCTTGTTCCAATTTTCCCTCTAACAGTAATTTATAAAGTTTTGTTAATTGGTTGTTGAACGTAGATAGGCAGGCACAATAAAACACATGACAGTTCATAAAAAAAGAATGACCTCTCAAGCCAAATCCGTGTCCTACTCAGTGTGTTAGATTTGTGAAGTTTTTCTGTTGGTAATTTTTTTCCCAGTTCCATTAAAGACTTGAATCCTGCAAGTTCTCTTTCCATAGAATTTCTGCTGCAAGACCTGTCAGATCCAAGGCTTAGATGTTGTTACTAATCCTCACTTACCACCTTCTAAATCATAAAACTACTGTGTAGAGCTTTGGGCTCAGGGCATGTTTCTGTTCAGTAGTCACATGAAACTAGTAGCTTTGGTGTCTACTCTGGAAGACTGGTCTGGATGTATTTTAGTGCTATCTTTACCATTACCAATATCTGATGTATTCATTTACATGTCTTTATTGCTGCTCAGTCACATCAGAACACAGCAGTAAAATGCTCTTCTATGTTTCCTATACCAAGAATATCAAGCTATTCACCTCCATTAAGGAGGACACTAGTGCAGATACTCGATTGCTTTCTGAACAAAGAAGTTCTTGCAGATTAAACAGATATTTTGCAGAATTGACCTGGTTTTGTTACATGTGCTTTACCATCACTGACCCTAACTAACATTTTGTTAAGATGTCCATTTCTGTTTTTACGATTCTTTTAGGAGTTATCTGTAGCCTCCTGTTCAAATTCTACTTTCAGTTATTGTTTTCTTCTGATCCCAGATTGCCTTTTGCATTTCTTAAATACCATCTTTTGCCATGCTGTCTCAAAGATGCCACAGGATTGCAGTGTGTCGCTAATCATTTGCTATGTTTCACCATGGAAATGTCTGCCTTTTAGTGCTAAATAAAACCATGAATTTATATTAATATAGCAGCTTAAATTTATGATGAAAAGCTTCTGGATGAAATATTTCTTATAAACGCATGTGTTGTAATAGTGATTATATGAAGAAGCTATGCCAAAGAACAACCTTCATTTACTCTGTTGTAAACTACAGGCAATTAACTTTGTATCTCTGACCTCTGATTTAAATGATCCTTCATCTGGATGATTTCTATCCATGTTGCTTCAGGCAGCAGATTAAATTCATGATTCTAGGAAAGATGATGGCTATTACTGCACAGCATATCCTGATCTCAGAAGATTTTGGGGAAGTTACAAAATACTGAGATGGATTGAGGTATACACAGGCTTCTGGAGGAAAGAACTATTTTTTTTCCTTGATGATTATTATTTCCACAGGAATTTGGCTGCTACCTTTTCATAATTACATTTTTTTATTATTATTATTGTTTTTCAGCTAATTCTGGTTCCCTGCAAGGCCCACAGACACCACAGTCCACTGGTAGTAATTCCATGACAGAAGTGCCAGGCGATTTGAAGCCCCCAACACCAGCATCCACACCTCATGGACAGATGACACCTATGCAGGGTGGCAGGTATGAAAAGGGCTTTGCTTCGTTTTTGATTGCTGTAGTTCTACAGCAGTTTAATCTGGTCTTTCCTAGCTGCTTAGGCACTTGTAGGATTTTGTGGTAAACCAGTCAGAGTCTGAAAAGTGGCAGAAAATTATTTATTTTATAGGAGGAGGAGGAGGAGAGTGAGGGAAAGGGAGGAAGGAGTAGAGGTCCATTAGCTTTCTAAACACCAGAGAAGGATCAGACAAGCACCAGTGCAAAGAGGTTCATGTGAATATGTCATTAGTGGGGAGGAAGGTGCAACCCAACAGCACCAACATAGAACCACAACCTTCCTTTCCTTGATCATCCTGTACGCCTCTGGTCAACAGATTTCAGTCATGCTCAGGAAGGAGAAACATGTGGTTTAAAGGTGTCACCTGAATTCAAATTGTGAAAAGCATATACAGTAACAGTGGTTGAGATAGCAGAGAGTTCAACTGGATGGACCAAGAGATCCCTTTCAGTTCTGTGCTCTGGAAGTCTCACAGACTGGCTTAATCTGAAGTGAAGCTGTCTCGCCATCCATTAAGGAGCCTTAGTCCACTGAAGTCCAGCAAAAGAGTTCTTTATGACTTCAGCAGGAACTGAAGCTTTGAACTGTGTACAGAGCCACTCCAAATTTAATTTACTTAGGTTCTTTTTTTCTCCATCTGTAATGCTGCAGAAAGGATAGCAAGAACCATTTTTAATCATCTTCAATTCAGATTGAGTTTCCTAGGTAAAAAAGAACAAAACAGCTTAGTGAAATTTCAGGAAGCGCTGGATTTTTATATGAGTAATACAATACACAAACAATAGAACTAGATGAAAAATCCTGATCTCTAATGTAAGTAGACAAAGAAGCTTGGGGGAAAAGTAGGTATATTCTTTTTAATGATTGTCCATTGTGAAAGTATTTTGCATCTTCCTTGGATGTATCCTGCACTGATCACTGCCACAGCATGGTGAGCTAGTTGTATTGTAGTCTAGGCTGTTTTCACAGTTGTTACAAATACAGGATGATGTTAATGTTTCTTTTTTCTTAATCTGCCAGGAACAGCGCAGTCAGTGTGCATGATCCCTTTTCTGATGTAAGTGATTCAGCGTTCCCAAAGCGAAACTCCATGACGCCAAATGCACCATACCAGCAGGGAATAAACATGCCAGATATGATGGGAAGGATGCCATATGAGCCGAATAAAGATCCTTTCGGTGGAATGAGAAAAGGTAGGAGCTTTGTAGGAGCTCAGGTGTTCTTCCCTGTGTTGTTGGTAATCAAGATGTTGTAGTCAGAATGAGCTTTTTCACTTTGATGATTTTGCCATTAGTATCCTTGTAGCAAAAAAGAGAGGAGCAGTACAGTTGAGTTTCTGGTCTGGTCATATTCTCCCTGCTCAGAGTCATGCCTGTTATTTTGGAATTAACAGAATCCTAAAACACTAATAAGAATACCTTTGGGAAAATGGCATAATTCGTAGGGTTAGATTTGGTATTTCTTCAGGCTGGTTAGCTACTCTGCAAATCAGGTGCTGGACTTCTCTGTGAAGAATGTGACTTAGAATGTCAAGTGATGAAGCAACATGCCTGGTTATAGCAGGACTGATCTGGGAATTCACTGTGTGAAACTGAGCAAGCCTCCTAATGCTCTCTGTCTCAGTTTACATGTCTTTCAGAATAGTAAAGCTAAATTTATTCTTACTTGGGCAGTCCCTGACAAAAGGTGATAAACACACTCAAAGTTTGGTTTTTTTTTAAGAAAGCAAAATTTAAAATTAATGTCAAAACTGTCTCTGGTCCTTTTGGGTACTTAACCTACAGCTGGCTTTGTGGATATTGTAAAATTAGCTTAAAATGAATCAATCTTGCATGCATCGGATACAGGAAAGTAGGAGGAAAGAACACAGGCAAGGCTCACAATGGCTGTAAAGAGAAGAGCAGGTGGAGGAGATGAAGTGTAAACTAAAACAGGGCAAAAGGGAGATATGGCAAGAGGAGGCCCTGAAACTGAGGAAAGAAAGACATGTGATGAAGTGGGAGATGCTTTAAACGAGATAGTTAATCAGGTGTGATTTTTTTTTTAGAGCCTTTCCTTTAAATCCTTTTGCCTGGACTGTGGACAGTAAGATTTAACACAGCTGACGGAAGGGAAAACTCTCTGCTTTAGATTCACTTTAGATTTTATATCCATATGAAATTACGTGGGTGTATTGTACTTTGTCATACATTTCACTCCATCCTGTCGAAACAGAAATAACTCTGTTCAGTATCTACTATGAGGGACTAAAGGCTAGAATCTCTTCTATTTGCTAGGTGATTTATATCTGATAATAGTGCCTTTTCTTGGACCCATAGAATATGCCCGTCCTGCTTGAGAAGCTACATTAGGATACAGTATCCTTTCCATAACAGCATTATTGTATATGTGTGTATGAGGGTTTTATGGGGGGAAGTAAAAGCTTGATTCTGACAGCTTTGTAGTTCAAACTAGCAGATTTGCTTTCATCTGTTTTGTAGGGCTTATGTTTGTGTTCATTTTTAGCATTGTTTTCGGTGAAAAGAACAAGAGTAAGTTCATCTTCAGCTGTGAAGACCAGAGGGAAGCAGCTGCTTGGTGCCTGATAGCTCAGTTCCATAGGAGGAAATTCCTTTCCTCACTGCAGCTCCTTTATATTATACCCATCATCTTGGTAGTGGTGGTGCTTCATGTGTTCCATTAGACCCTAGAGAGCTTGTTAGACACCTGCTGATTCTCCTTGGCAGTGTTAGGGATCTGAACATTCTCCTAAAATACTTAATTGAAAAGAAAGTGATCATCAAACATGCAGATTAATAAATTTAATTTCACTGACTGTTGCAGTGCCTGGAAGCAATGAGCCTTTCATGACCCCTGGACAAATGCCTAACAGTGGAATACAAGATATGTATAACCAGAGTCCATCTGGAGCAATGTCCAACATGAGCATGAGCCAGCGACAGCAGTTCTCTTATGGAAGTGGCTATGACAGGAGGTGAGTCAATCTTCAGGAAAAAGCAAAGCCCATTAGTGAAAATGACCTCTCTCTTCCATTTTCATTTTCCCATTCCATCTCACAGAGAACATAGCAGCCTACATTTCCTACAGCATCTTACTAAATCACTGGGAGTCAAACCACTGGTAATGACTGAGTCTAGCTGTTCACAGAAATTAATAAGGAGGAATTTTTACACCTTAGAAGTCACTCAGGCTGCAGCACATCAGCTCATGGGTGTCTCTGACAGCTGCCTGCAGCTGGGCAGGGCTGTGAAGACATAAAGTAGCACTTGAGCTGGTCTCCTAGCTGTGTTTTCACCTAAACAATTGCTGGTTGGCTTTTAATGAAAAACAAAATGCACCGTCTAAATGTGTCTGATTTGTGGTCTGTGAGTGTGAATTGCCTTTGGAGAGTCTGGAGTCTGTTGTCAGACCTGTAGCAGCATCAGTCTTGCAGTGTGTCCAGCAGCATTCTCATAGGTTTGTCCTTCAGTGAAGTACATGAAATAAATTTGGTCCTCTTTTGTTTATATGGGGAAAGGTTTTGGGGGAAAAAAAAGTGGTAAAATCACTGTAGTCTAAGCATTGGTAGAGAAGCAGAATGTTTTGGGAATGTTTGTATTATATGAAGTATTCTGGCAGATTTTGCTGCTCTGGCCATATTCCTGCTTTTACTTTCATTAGGCTGTGTACTTAGCTTCTCTTTTTGTTTCCTGATGGTAGACAAAGTGGTTCAGTGTGGGTCTTTAAAGTGTAAGGGCAGAGCAGTTTTCAGTCAGTAGTTTTAAGTAGTGGTTGTGTCAAGTAAAGCAAATCTAATCAAGCTGTTCAATAGGTCACATTGCTGGGGAGTTGGTGAGAGTAAGGGCCCCATTGGAAGGTGTTAAGTCAAGAGAATGTTTTCTTTAAGGGATGTGATTTATTTTATTTTGTTGACAATTTTGGAAAATAAGTACTTTTTACAGAATGAGGTTTCCTTTGTAATTTTTTAGGTTGGATCATGGGCTGGGTCCTGAAGGCAGTATGGTACCACCTGGTCAAAGCAACATGGTGCCTTCAAACAGTGACCCAAGCATTTACTCTCCTAATTGTTATTCTGGCCAGCAAGGATGAGCACTGAAACCAGCTAACAAGTGCTAGAAGCCTCTGTGAGAGCACATAGGCAGAGCATGTGGCCTCTTGGTGTGTTACTTCTGTTTTGCTTTCTTGTTAAGGCTTTTGCCATTGGTTCAGTTTCTTGCAGGGAAGCAGGGGCTTGTGAGAGTCAGTTGACTTTCTGTAGTAGTAGAATCAGAGATATTAGAAAAGGAGCGTACATCCTGCCTTGTCTATCTGCTGCTCAGCACAGGACTAGAACATCATTTACAGTCCCAAGTTCTCCAGAGCAGCATTAAATGGTACCATTCTGAAGGTTCCACAATTTTACCTGGCTTGTGGTTATCCTGTGGCTAACAAACTGAACATTTAGAAAGTCTTCCCTTATGAATAACACATGTGTACCTTTGCTTAATTTTATCTTAGTGCTGTACTCTTGGATAACTACAGACAACTCCCCTCATTTACATTATTCTTTTAACTGGCATTGGATAATTTCTCTCCATTCATGTGATAATTTTAGGAGATACTGAATTGCTATTTCTTTCTCTCTGGTCATCTCTTTTAAAAAAAATTAGTTCTCTATGCTTTTGGAAAAATGAGGTTCCATTAGTTCTTTTAACATGTCAGGTTCCCCAGTTCTATGTTTCTGTGACTCTCCCTGATACATTACATCCATAATTATCCTCTAATTGTTGGTGTGTTCTCACTGGTAGTGTACAGAGAGGAATTACTGACATACTAGCCTGCAATACAGTGTTATTTATCAATCTTAATGCTTTCCAAGTACTTGATTTCAGCAACCTAAATTTCATTCAGATGTGCTAAAAATATTGCACTGTTGTGCTCCTCAGAGGTCTTAAAGGCCACAGGTAAGTTTCCAAGAGTAACACAACTCTGTCTCTCACCGTGTATGCTTCATTATGTAGCTTTAATTAAAAATTACATGAACATTAGCAAGATTATGAGTGCTGTTTTTACTCACTTTAAATTGATATATTCCTGAATAATCAAGAAAGTAGCTTGCTCTTAGACTGGCATTCTAAAACACAAGAATTTTTACCTGCAACCTTTGAGCTGTACACCAGATACTTCCCCACCAAGGATGGACTCCCCATGTCTGCAACTTCCTTTCTTACCTATTTGCTGAGCATACCCTCTTCTCATTCCTGACTGGTCCCTCTAAATCTCTCTGTTGTACCTTCACTGCTCCTCCTTTCTTCTATCTACTTTATCTCCTTCCTTCCACTACCAGCTCCAGCAGAGCTTACTACCTCAGGCTCAGGACCATACCAGACTGTACCTTAACCTTGTTTCCAGATGGCAAATACCTTCAAGATGCAACATTTTCAGAGGACTTTACTCTTCCTGGTGGTTTGAAAACTCCAGCAGCTCTAAGTGTTGATTTGAATGCTTTATTTTAGGCATGAACCATATGGGCAGCAGTATCCAGGACAAGGACCTCCCTCAGGACAGCCACCATATGGAGGACATCAACCTGGAATGTATCCACAGCAGCAGGTAGTATAGGAGAAAATGGCTATGTTCATAACATTTGTTTAAAAAAATTCACCCCAGGATTCTGTATACATTGAAAAATTTGTTTATGCAGTGTATGTCTTCTGGCACAGAGGAGTACTGTAGTTCTGGTCAAAGTCACAGCCTGTATGGATAAGCAATGTATGTGCAGCTGTAGGAAAATGTGCTCATTACACTGGAAGAATGTAAATTCTAACAGATGTTCTGTGGATTTGGATGTGCATCAAGTGATTGTCCCAAGTTAATAACCAGCAGACTGGGAAAGTATAAAGCATAGAAAAGTAAAGTGACTAATAGAAATGAAGTGACAAGCAAAGGAACAAATAGAAAAGTGGCTTGAATGGCAGGTTCAAGGGCTTTAACTTAATGTCATGCAGCCAAGTGAACCCAACAGAGAGCTGGAACAAAGTGAAATGAGCAGCACTCTCAATTATTTTCAGTGCTGTGGTGGGTCATATGAAATACCTATCTTTAGTATAGGTCAGAGGGAATATTCCCACATGACGTCTCTAGTAATAATAGGGTACAAATACATAAGAGAGAATGTTATTGGTGTTAAAAGTAGTTTAAACATTTGCACATTGCAGTCTCCCCAACTCTTACAACTCAAAAATACAAATTATATTAATTAATATGATTTTTCTGTTACATGTATGATTAGTACATTGTGAGCAAACTCCCACCTTAGAAGTCAATAGCAAAACTCTACTGACTTCAACAGGATCAGTTTCATTTTGTGTCTTATTAATTCAGTTCTAGTCATACAGTACTTGAAGTTGGCTTCCAGAATAGAAAGCATTTCCTTATTATAAAAAAAACTGAAATGTAAACTAGTTTTGAGCCAATTTCAGATAGTTCTTTTCAGTTTGGGATAGGGTTTTACTAGGAAATTGGGGTCAGGGGTTGGGAGTGCTGTGGGGAGAAACCAAAAGAGATCTTAGATTGCACTGTACTAAAAACATACATAAGTTTAAATTTCAGAATTTCTTGCTTATCTCTTTGGTTCATAACATCTCAAAAATGGCATAATGGAAAAACTGTTTTGCTGGTTTTTATGATGAGCATATGCTAGCAGTCTAGGTGATTTAGTGGGGAAATTGCAAAGGTATGTAACAACAGTTTTGATATTCCATGCTAACATGTGCAGGGAATACATTAACTATATGTTCATTTAAGCCAGGAGACAGCTAGAATTTGTAAAAATACATTTGGTCCTGTCCTTAGTGCTCTTGAATGCAAAATGCATTCATTCAGAAAAACAGTGGGGAATGAAGGACAAGGATCCTGACCAGACTTAGCCTCTCTCTCCCATCCTCAGAGGATTCCACTTCTTCATTTAGCTACAGATTCTGTTGCTAGTAGCTTATTTACAATTTCCTAAATCTTACTCTGTAGTGGTACAGGAGGAATGTGAAAAATGACCCTTTCAAAGCTTTATCTACTACCTGAAGGCTAGGGAATGACTTGCAAAGGAGGTGTTTGGAGCATGAACTCCTGGGGCTAATGAAACACTTGGAGCCAGGTTTTCCAATTCCTGTATGAATGCTTACATCCCAAGAGCTATTACACAGCAGGTGACCTGTGTTGGTGGCTTTTTGTCCTCTGTGAGGTCTCAGAATTCCACATCTCAGTGGAGAGAGAGACACATTGTGTAGTCTCAGTGTCCTGCTGAGCATGTCCACAGGAGGGAGGAGCTCGGGCACATCACTGTCCTCTGCTCTGGGGACCATTGGGCACGTTGGCACTGCATGTGCTGGAGTGCTTTTAAAAAGGCACATGCTTCATTCCAAAGTGTCTGCTCTAAGCACTGAGTCACTGTGGCAAGACAAACAGACCTTCTTAGGTGTGGCTGCTGCCAAGTCATTTCTTAATGTATAAATTGGCCCCAAGGGTGGAATTTAGTACAGCAATTAGTTCATGTAAGGCTTGAAGTAGGTATTTCTCAGATAACCAGAACCTCTACAGCAAGTCTAAAAAAAATACTTTCATACAATACAGTAGTTGTGGTTTTATGTGCACCAAAGTTGGAAGATGACTTTATGAATCCCAGAGCTGTTTTAACTTTCCCATATTGAATACAGAGAGAATTTTATCTGATCTTAACTCTAGTACATTAGTATACATTGTACAATGCTACTGAGCTACTGAGTTTCCAGGGGAGCTGTAACTTTGAATTTGCCATAGATCATATATTCAAAAGTCACCCATTTAATTCACATTTTTTGCTTCAGAGCACTCAGTGTGGTTTGAACTGTGGAACAAACTCCCACAGGAACTAAGGACTGCTGCAAACCTTACCACCTTCCCCTCAAAGAGCAAGATGTCTTTTTTTTGTTCTGCCACCTTAAACATAAATACATTCAAGCTTGTATGGTTTAAAAACCACTCCGCTCTCCCCAAGGTAAAACAGCTTACCTCACACAACATTCCCCGTTTGAGAGAGTGAGAAACAAAGAGGGAGTAAACCATAGGTGGCAGCTGTTAGTTACATTGCTTAATTCATTACAGAACAGCAGGGTAAGAACCTGCATAAACTAGAACAGAATGTTTGGATGTGACCATTTGCTGTAATAATCTCACAGTAAATTAAACGTAATAAGGGTGATTTGGGAAGAAGATCATTGCCCAAAGAGGACCATATTCATGGGAATTACACAAAATATCAAATGCAGAAGATTGTTTTGTCCTATTAATAAATTTACTCTCTGTAACCTGTGTCATATTGTAAGATTCAGTATTTCAGACATGCATGCTTGCAGCATATCATGTTACTTTAAGTGTTTATTCAGTGCTTGTCTCTTGAAAAGATTCACTGGATGGTTTTGAATTTTTTTTAAGATTTTTTCTTCTTGGTAGACTAAAAATAAAACAGAAGTGAAAATATTTTAGTTGGTGAGGACTGTTGCCTTTTCATGCATGTCTGAAATGACCAGTGGAATTTAGTCTGACAGATGGAGGAGGAAAGGGAAAGGGAAAAAATTAGAGCGAGCATAAGAAAATTTAGCCCAAGGATAAGCTTCCTTTTAGTATTCAGTTATAAGTGCAGCAAAACAGAGGCTTAAAAAGAAAGCACTGGATCAAGCCTAACCATAGCACTGTGTGGCTGACTCTGGAGTCGGCACGATCCCTCTAGAACTAAGCGCCTTCAGCTTTTTAAATTAGTTTTCATCCAGTATATTTGTATCGTGCATTGAGTAAAAATGACACATCTTTCCAAAATTTCTTTCAGAACTACAAGAGACACATGGATGGCATGTATGGGCCTCCAGCCAAACGCCACGAAGGGGATATGTACAACATGCAGTACGGCAACCAGCAGCAGGAAATGTATAACCAGTACGGCAACGCTTACACAGGGCCTGACAGGAGGCCCATGCAGGGACAGTACCCATATCCATATAACAGGGAGAGGATGCAGGGCCCAGGACAAATGCAGCAGCATGGAATACCTCCCCAGATGATTGGTGGCCCCATGCAGTCGTCATCCTCCAGTGAAGGTCCTCAGCAGAACATGTGGCCAACACGAAATGATATGCCTTACCCTTACCAGAACAGGCAAGGTCCAGGAGGCCCCGCACAGGCCCCTCCGTATCCAGGGATGAATCGCACTGATGATATGATGGTACCTGACCAGAGGATAAACCATGAGAGTCAGTGGCCTTCTCATGTCAACCAACGGCAGCCTTCTTATATGTCATCCTCAGCCTCCATGCAGCCTATCACTAGACCTCCTCAGTCATCCTACCAGACACCACCCTCTATGCCAAACCACATCTCCAGAGCTCCAAGTCCAGCATCCTTCCAGCGCTCTTTGGAAAACCGTATGTCTCCAAGCAAGTCTCCTTTCCTACCCTCCATGAAGATGCAAAAGGTTATACCCACAGTTCCAGTGTCACAGGTCACAGGACCTCCACCCCAACCACCACCGATTAGGCGAGAGATTACCTTCCCCCCAGGCTCTGTAGAAGCATCCCAACCAGTCTTAAAACCAAGACGAAAGATTACCTCAAAAGATATTGGTAAGCATCAAAACAAAGCCTCATATAAATTGTGAAGAAAGGGACTTTGATTCTGATTTGATTTTTTTTTTTTTTTCCCTTTCACATTTTAAGACACTCTTGACAAATAGTGAGCTTTGGTAACTAAAATGTGATTGTCTTCAATAAAAACGTGATAACGTGTGCATAGTGAGGATGATAGGTAAAACTCATCCCAGACAATCTGACATGAAATGAAAGTAATATTTTATATGGAGACTTGAAGTCTTCATAAATGCATTAAAAATGAAGCTTGCCTCAGATTTCAAAATGAGATGTGTTGAAAGGTCCTTTAGAATGTCTGTTAAATTACCAGTACAGCATTTAGCTTAGCAAAGCTTTCCATGTTTTTGTTCCATGGAAGCTCATGCTGTTCTGCTGTGTAGTTGCAGTCTCTGCTTTCCTTGAATGATCCATTTAATCATGCCATAGTATTTGTCCTGGTTGTTTCTCCTCCACTTCTTAAAAAGATCCCCAGGTATTTTCTGATCTTAAATTTTAGTTACATTTCATCCATTCAAGTTGTCATAATTCAAATTTCCACATTCCTGACAGAGTATTCTACTTTTGTTTACTGATGAATTGAGCTAGTCAAGTTCTTTAGGTTTGTACAATTATTTCAGGTTCAGCAGAGTCATGAAGAATGGCCTTGCTAGGGTATTCTCCTGCACTAAGGCTTATCAGCAGTTACAGAAAACTGAACAGAACTAAGCAGTGAAAATAGGGTCTTAACCAGTAACCATTTAATTTAAATTTGCATCCTCAGAATATCACAGTTTAGTCTTTCAAAACCCATTAACAGTCTCCAAGGATGCACTAATACTGTTTTACTTCTCCCTCTTTCTTTCTCCAGTAACTCCTGAGGCCTGGAGAGTGATGATGTCTCTTAAATCTGGTCTTTTGGCTGAAAGTACCTGGGCGCTAGACACTATTAATATTCTTCTGTATGATGACAGCACTGTTGCTACTTTCAACCTCTCTCAGGTAGGTGGGGGAAAGCATTATGCTTCTCAACTTTCCAGGGAAAGAAAAGTGAAATAAGACACCTACAGAAATGCTGCTGGCTTTTCCAATTTATTCTAATTAACATATATTTTAATATTGAAAAACTTGGACTTGTTTATGATTGGTAATAGTAACAAGAGACAGATTTAGGTCTCATAAAGAAAATAAAGAAGCCTAAAAAAGGATGTTTCTTGTATAAAGGAGCGTGTAGGAATATAAGAATTTTAGCATTGCCTGAAGACTAACGTGTAAATTCACACACATGATAGTAAATCCCTCAAAACAGCAGTATGTTAGTAATCTTTCTTAATCTGTGTTTCTTTAAAGACTTTGCAAAACTATATTAAACTGATTTGAAGGCTGTTTTTTGGTGACAGCTTACCCTGTTCTGTACTTCGATGTGAGACTGTGGGATTTTATTTAATGGCTTATTTTCTGTTTGGTTTCTTCTTCCAGTGAATTAACTTTTCACAGAAATACCAAATTGACAATTTGAAGGCTAAAATCCACTGTCTATTCATAGGATGCAAGCAACACAGGATTTAACAGTGTGTGCTTTTGCCTCACTGCCTCCCAGCATTTTTCAGCTCTGCTCTAATCATTTGCCTGTTAGGTGGTAGTAATAGATGGCATGCTGATAATGCACATCATCTAAAATTTGTACAAATTAAATATTCAGTTTCTCTCCTCCATTCATTTCTTGGTTACTAATAGTGTAACTCATCATTTTCTAAATATAATGGCTTTTTTTTTTTTAAATACAGACACAAATGGTACATTACATCCCACCTTCCTTTAGAACTAGGGATATCTATAGCATGATTTATCTCACCCAGAAGAAGAGATCTAAAATAGGTCAGATGAATCATACCCTAGAAATGGCCTGTAAAAGACCATTGATTATAAAAGGAATCGAGATGGTTATGTTAGGTGTGTGTCTAGAGTGGGTGTTTGAAGTTAAATGAGGTGAATTTCTCTGAATTTCGTCAGAAATTGTGTTAATGCATCCTATGCAAATTGCACAGAATACCAGACATCCTGTAAATACATACATTCTTTTGTGATGTCTGCTTTGGACTCTGTTTCCAATGGCAGCCAGGACCTTATGATGCCTGGTAACTCCTGCAGTTCTGATAAGCTTAAGTTCGTTCTAAGTTCTCTTAGAATCATAAGAGAATACAGAATGGACAAAAGGCTACATTTTACTGAAAACCCATTAGCCCACAATTAAAAAAAATAAACTCATTAAAAGCCAGACAATTGGACTGAATGCATCATAACAACAAAGAATTCTTAATAATAAAGCCACTAAGCATAAATTAATACCAAGTCCAGCTACTGCCTTTCTATAAGAAAGTGATTACAAGTTAATTAAGAAGATTAAACCTAAATGAAAACTGTTTCTGAAGGGTGACTTACAGCACCAGGCTCCAGTAACTACTTTAACTACTGCCAGACAGAGAATGGATCTATTCCAATGGAGATGAAATACTAATCTAGGATTTCAGTACCTGGCCCCTGAACTGCAGGTTCCTACATGACAGTTGGTTTTAGAGACAAAGGAGGAAAGGAAGAATTGCAAACTTTAGATATTTAATAAAAGTACAAATCAGAAAAAGTAGCTGAGTTAAGAACTTCAGTTCTGTGTACAAAAAATGAAGAGTAATAGGCATTTCCAAGGGGACAGAACAGCTAAGCCAGATGTCTGCTATGGTTTAAAGGAGACATTAATAAAGTTCTCTACCTCTCATAGCTGTTACAGCTGAAGCAAATGGAGCTGTGATAGTTTGACATGATATACTGTTTGGACAGACTCTAGAAAAATTTCTTTTGATTAACTTCTGCTATGCAGGACCTAGCCACAAGTCCACAGCAGGATGAGAGAAATACTCACACATGTATGCATCAGTGTTCCTAATAAAATTTAACACAGACAAAAATATTTATGTGATTTTTATGTTCTTTCTTTCTTCTTCCCTCAGTTGTCTGGATTTCTTGAGCTTTTAGTAGAATATTTTAGAAAATGCCTGATTGACATTTTTGGAATCCTTATGGAATATGAAGTGGGAGATCCAGGCCACAAAGCACTTGATCACAAAGCAGCCAAGAAAGATGATAGTCAGTCCTTGGCAGAGGATACTGGAAAAGATGAGAATGACGAATGTATTGACTATTTTGATGAAGATGAGGAGGAGGGGGAGGATGAAAAGGTAGAAGGAGAAGAAAAGAGCATTGTTTTTTCTACTCCTGGTGCCATTGCTGATCCAAGTGAGAGGCCAAAACAAGCCAGTAAATTTGACAAGCTGCCAATAAAGATTGTAAAGAAAAATAATCTATTTGTTGTTGACCGTTCTGACAAACTTGGACGTGTTCAGGAATTTGATAGTGGACTTCTCCACTGGCAGCTTGGTGGTGGTGACACAACTGAGCATATCCAGACTCACTTTGAAAGCAAGATGGAGATTCCACCACGCAGGAAAGCCCCTCCTCCCTTGAACTCTCCAAGCAAAAAGAAGGATCTTGAGGGGAAAGGTGAATCTGAGGAGCAACAAGAAAAGAGTATAACGGCAACCATTGATGATGTCCTCTCAGCTCGGCCAGGAGCATTACCTGAAGACTCAAACTCTGGTTCCCAAACAGAGAGCAGTAAATTTCCTTTCGGGATCCATCAAGCCAAAAGCCACCGGAATATTAAACTGCTAGAGGATGAGCCAAGGAGCCGGGATGAGACTCCTCTATGCACCATAACTCACTGGCAAGACTCCTTGGCCAAACGCTGCATCTGTGTGTCAAATATCGTCCGTAGCTTGTCTTTTGTGCCTGGCAACGACACCGAAATGTCCAAACATCCAGGCTTGGTGCTGATCCTGGGAAAGTTGATCCTTCTTCACCATGAGCATCCAGAAAGAAAGCGAGCGCCGCAGACTTATGAGAAGGAGGAAGAAGAGGACAAAGGGGTGGCCTGCAGCAAGGATGAGTGGTGGTGGGACTGCCTCGAGGTTTTGAGGGATAATACATTGGTCACATTAGCCAACATTTCTGGGCAGCTAGACTTGTCTGCTTACACAGAAAGCATCTGTTTGCCAATTTTGGATGGCTTGCTGCACTGGATGGTGTGCCCGTCTGCAGAGGCACAGGATCCTTTTCCAACCGTGGGGCCCAACTCAGTTCTTTCGCCTCAGAGACTTGTGCTGGAGACCCTGTGTAAGCTCAGTATCCAGGACAATAATGTGGACCTTATCTTGGCCACCCCCCCATTCAGCCGTCAGGAGAAACTCTACGCTACTTTAGTTAGGTACGTTGGGGACCGCAAAAACCCGGTCTGCCGAGAAATGTCCATGGCGCTCCTATCGAACCTTGCCCAGGGGGACACATTAGCAGCAAGGGCAATAGCTGTGCAGAAGGGAAGCATTGGAAACTTGATAAGCTTCCTGGAGGATGGGGTCACTATGGCCCAGTACCAGCAGAGCCAGCATAACCTCATGCACATGCAGCCTCCGCCTCTGGAGCCGCCTAGCGTAGACATGATGTGCAGGGCAGCCAAGGCCTTGCTGGCCATGGCGAGAGTGGACGAGAACCGCTCCGAGTTCCTTTTGCACGAGGGTCGTTTGCTGGATATCTCAATATCTGCTGTCCTGAACTCTCTGGTTGCATCTGTCATCTGTGATGTACTTTTTCAGATTGGGCAGTTATGACATAAGTGAGAAGCCAAGCATGTGTGAGTGGAGATTAGAGGGTCACATATAACTGGCTGTTTTCTGTTCTTGTTTATCCAATGTAGGAAGAAGGAAAAAAAAAAGAATCTTTGCTCCTCTGCCCCATTCACTATTTACCAATTGGGAATTAAAGAAATTATTAATTTGAACAGTTACGAAATTAATATTTGCTGTCTATGTGTATAAGTACATCTTTTTATTTTATTTTTTTTAACCAAAGTTGCTGTCTAGTACATTCAAAGGTCACACTTTTTTTTTTTTTTTTTTTCCATAGATTATCCTTTTCAATGTTCTTTTCCATGTTTGTATTGCATATTTTTTGGGAAGCGAACTAGTGACTTTTTAAAAAAAATGTTATGGCAAACCATTGTATGATGGGACAAAAATGTCACCACTTTGAAACAAAAAGGTGAAAAATAACCAACATACCAAGTTCCTGTGTGTTTTATTTTTTCAGATAAGGAAAAAATAAAAAAAAACTTGTATACCATCACCCAAAGCTCTGTGCAATAGAAGATTCTAGTGATGTAGGTATAGGGGATCAAGGAGGGTGTCAGTCAGTAGTCAAAATCCAAAACAATACTGATTTCTCCTCAGGAGAAATGGTTACATTAGGCTAGGAGCAAAACAAAACGAAATAAGTCAAGTTAAAAGATTTTTAAACAAAACCTGAAGTTAAACATCAATTGCTTCCTCACCAGAACTGTCTTGTCTACATATTTTCTTTTTTTTTGACCTTCCACAATGACAGTTCTTCACAATTCCTTTAATCATTTTTTAAAATATTTTTTTATTGCCTAAGGGCCGTGATGTATATAGAAGTTGTACATGAAACATACCCTCATTTTTTTTTTTTTTAGTACAAAGTTTTTAGTTTCTTTTTCATGATGTGGTATCTACAAAGTGATAGTAGAATTATTTTTTCTTTCATTTGGGCCATATCTCCAAAAAATAATAAAAAAAAAAAAGAAAAAAGAAAAAAACCCAACACAGAAAACCAACAACTGAGGGTAATGTACAAGTTTCTGTATGTATAAAGTCATGCTCTATTTCGGGAGAGCAGCCGATCACAATTTGCTTTATAAATCAAGGTGTGGAAATGGTTACGTATGGATTGATTTAAGAAAATGGTTACCAGTCTACAGACAAAAAAATATATACAGGAAAAAAAAAAAAAGGAAGAAACACAACTTCAAAGATTTTTCAGTGACAAGAATCTGCATTTGTATTTCAAGATAATGTAGTTAAAAAAGAAAAAACTTGATGTAAATTCCTCCTTTTCCTCTGGCTTAATGAATTTCATTTATTCAGTATAAAATCTTTATATGTTCCACATGTTAAGAATAAATGTACATTAAATCTTGTTAAGCACTGTGATGGGTGTTCTTGAATAGTGTTCTAGTTACAGTGTGGGATATCGGAAAGCAAACTATTTACAAGAAAGAGCAATAATGATTATTCTCTTTCCCCTACTTTATTATTATGACCTTCAAAAATAATATGCTATTGTATTGCAGCAACTTGCTGTCCTTTTAGAAAAGCCTTCTCCCATCTCAGAGAAGTGTTTTTAATTATTATATATAAAACCATGAAGCCTCAAAGGGGAAGACATGGCTGACAAGTGATAGTTCTGACTATGCAGGTACCAGTCTCCATGCTGTGTTTGGGGGACTGAAGGCGGATGTTAGAAAAAATGACAAAAGATTTTGTTAAAGCAATAACCAACTGGTAGAAATCGATCTGTATTCACTACCTGTAATTCTCTCTGTTGGTTAAAAGTGCAAATACCCCAGTGATGTGGGTATTTAGAATAAACACCCACCCACTTCTCGATCCTGTATGTGTCATTGCATACTTACGTGGCCTCTCAGGCTGGGAGCCCCCCGTTAAAGTGGATCAGGCTTTAATAGAGCACATCCATCGTTATAATTGGTGGGAGATGGCCATTTCCCTTTCAGGAATTATCTGGTTTCAGATGCATCCACTCTCACCTGGTGATACCTTGTTGCTGAATATTGTTCAAGCACTGATTTTTGCTATTTTATCTTGGATCATTGACTTTGTTAGTGTGATCATAAAAAGCTAATAATAATCAATTTCCCTGGAATTGCCACATAATTACACTGTTAGTGGATATCCTCCTCCCCACTCCAATAACAATACGGAGGTACTTGAAAATTACAGCCCCCTTTGGCATGCTGCCCATTTTGTTCATATAGATTGTTGTAACATTAATATACGTCAGAGAATTTCAGAGACAGGTAAAGTACATACAATTATAAGCCAAGTTTGAAACGTGCCTCCCTGGTGTCACGAGAAGTAATTTCTCCTTCTAGCTTCTCCTACTCAGTAATCTCTCTACTCCTACATCATCTGCTGCAGTGGTCTGTCTTCCTCTTGCATATCACTGCTTTTAGAAATGTCTGGTGAATTATAACCCACTTGTAACTCTTCATCACAGCAGGCGTATTTCAGGGATGATTTTTACAGTTTATTGCTGGGCAGTGTGAAAGTAGAATGCCCCGCTAAACTTATTTCTTACCAATATTTTACTGTTTGATACCGCCCCGTGGATACAAGCAAGCTGTTAAATAAACCCTCTGCTGAGTGCTACACACCCCTTTCCAATCAAGGACAACAAAGGACGTCTGTTCTCTTCCCTCTTCAGCATTCAGACTCAGAGTCCTCTGGGGAAAACTACACCTGTGGCAAAACACTCTCAGCTGTCAGAGGCAGCATGTTAATGCTCTTCAGGACTGCTCTAAGCCTGCTTAAACAACATGGGGGGGAAAAACACCCAGCCAGCCACATAATGTCCATATGTATGTGACATGTCCTGCCACTTCTCCAGCTGGGCCAAGAACTAGCCGAGGAAACACAGCACTGAAAGGGAAAGGTGGACTCTGCCTGAACACGATTTTATTCTGTTACAGTAAGAGTAAACAGTCTAAATCATTAGTTAGTGTTACATTACATTTATCACAAGAAAGGGGACACGTAAGAAATGCAGTTCCCTCTCTTGTCTTCATATGATTTCATCTTTCCCACAATGTTCTCTTAAGCCTTTGGAGACAATCTGTTCATGAGACTTGTGCTCTTGGCATGTTCTGAGTCCTGGCCAAGCTTGAACTGCTGTTGTTATTGTTCTTACAAGAGGTATTTTTGGGTTCACTTTAGCAAGCAAATTCTACATTTGTATGCAGGTGTGATCACTGTGATGAAGCTCAGAGTAGTTCTAACAGGATGGACTATTTGAGTTATTTAAGAGAAAGCAGCCAGATAGTATTTTAGGCACTAATCAACCGGAAATACTTGACTAACTAACTGAATATATAGATATGTGTAAACCTACTTGGTTCTTTGGCAGACCCAAGCAATTACTTACTTGCAGGTTGAAAGAGCATCAATGTATCTTCACTGACCTTTAGAATCACTTCAGGGATTAAATGCCTATCCCCTTTGACAGGAAAAAATGGGTTTGTTTCTTGTTAACATAACTTCCTACACTATTCTTTCAGAAAACCCACAAAACAAAACCAGCACATGAAAATATCCTGCTCAGAAACTCCGTGTTTTCAGCTACCCAAAATGAATGATGGAAAAGAAAAATTCCTGTGTTCAAAAGCCTGTGGGTTTTCTCTTCCATCTTCTTTTGCTATTTCACACCACAGTCTGTGCCATCACCACAAGACCATTGCCTTTTGGCATAGATAGATCTAGAAGAAAAATTTACTTAATTAGAAGAATACTGTAGTAAAGTATGTACATGTGTCACATGTTACTGATTGCTGTACAAGACTTCCACAGTGCAACACAGGCTACACTCTTACTTTACAAATAATATGAAAATACTTCTTAGTAATAAAGAGGTGTAACTGAAAAAAAAAAAATAATTACCATCATCTCTGTTGTTCTCCCCCATAGAAGAGAGAGGATTGTAGGTATTAATATAGTGTAGGGCTCAAGCCAACTTGAAACTGAGCTGAGTGGCACATAGTGAGTTCACCTTCCAAGAAGCCCTGAGTAGTTTCCTTACTCCGCAGGCAGTGATGCTGATGTACCTAAGATATAATACACACCTGCTGCCCAAACACTAATAACACTACCAAGAAGTCAGTATTTTGGGACTTTTAACTAAGAGCAGTCTGAAATTTTGAGTCCATAGAAAGATGACTTCTATCACCTTTGGCCCATAATTATCAAATATGTGGAAACCATGTTCACAGAAAAAACCACAAGGCAATCCCTGCTGCAAAAAGTTTATTTTCCAAGTCATGAACAAGTAAATGCAAGTGGGAAATAGGCAAAAATAGAAACAAAAGCATCAGTAAGCCAAAAAGGTACTACTCTTGGAGCAGAGCAGAATTCAGAGATCTACAACATGGCCCCATGCCACTTTAATTTTCTTCAGGATAAGTTGTGAAATTTCAGGGTGCTCCCTGCTTGTTTTCTCATGAAATCGTACAGTTCCCCATGGAAAATTCCTTTGCATCCATTCCTCACAAAGATTATTTTTAGGATTACTGAGCATGAAGAAAGGAGAGAGGAAAAATATGGGTGGGAAAAAAGGGTGAAAAGGCATGGTCATTTGGAGAAAGAACACAAAGCTGAAAGAAAAGCTTCTTATGTCCCTTACTCTATTTTTATGTTTATGTCATTCCAAAGAAACAATTAAACCAAGCTAGAAGAATTTGGCATTTCATTGGTGGCTGGTATAAATACAATGGAAGTAAAAAAATATTTTTAGTTGGGACCAAGGGAAGGAAAGTATGAGCCTCCAAGTGTAGACTGGTAAATTCGAGTTTTTCTTAATTGCATTTACCTTTCAGATCTTCAAGACAGCAGGAATGGAGAAGGATTAATATTGTCTGCATTGTTAAATCCACCCTCAGTTGTTTATTTGTGCACTGTCAGAAATGGGTTTGCAAAGTCTGGCCATCCTTTCTGTGAGTGTCAGTAGCTGCGGATACAGGAGACAGCTGTTCTGGACTGCATACCAAATAGAGCCTGTCATGTGCCTAATCTATTCATCTTGTATTTCTAATCACTAATTCTAACACAAGCTAAAAGGCATTTCATTGCAATGCCGTTGTACAGTATAAAAAAGTGTTGGTTTATACTTCACATTTGTTTTAACTGGCATAAACTAATGATACAGCAAGATTTTCATCTGATGCCCTCACAGAGCTAAATCTTCCCCTGCATTTGTTAATTTACTTATTCTGCCATTACTCAATATATATTGCATTTCCATTAATTAAGCATAATTATTTACATTGAAAGGGTGATGCAGTGGAATTGCCTGGCTAGCAGGGCAAATCCCTAATGACTTGGGCATCTCTAGAATGTTTATTCAGGTCTGTAAAGAGACTCGTGAAGGACAAACATTCTGAGTTTTGCTCTACTATAGAGCATTTTTAAAAGACAACTTGATGTATTACCATGCCAGGAGAAAGATATGTTTGCCTAACATGAAAAATACATGCTAGATAAAGCTTATAGTACTCCATGATGCAATTCTACTTTACATGTAGTAGTATGCTTACCAGTTCTGAGCATCTTCAGCTGAGAAGAAAAACAACTAAATCATGGTTTGCCATCAAATTACAACACAAAATTGCAAAAGCAACTATTAAACTTCCTTCCCTTTAAGAGAATTTGGAAAGAAACAATGTTCCACCAGATATATCAGCACCAGTGAAGCTTACAGTGGACTCCTTCAAGAATATTCCTTTTTTGTTTTTTAATACAAAAGATGAAGCTTTATACATAGTGAAACACAAGAACTAAGAAATACTGCTATTTAAACATAAAGTCTCATTTGCAGAACCACCAATATGCATTTTCTATGAAGTCAGGGAAGACAGACTTGTAACAAGTTATTTGTTATCAATATCCTAAGTCCACCTAAAAAATAAAGGTACATTTCCACACACTTTGTATAGGCATGTATATTTCACTAGTATGTGTCTCACAGTGCAGGAGAAGCTGTTCTTCCCTTTGGTCCTTTTTTTTCCTAATATTTACTCCCTAAACCTCTCATATTGCTTCCTTCCTTTCCCCTATGCATTAGTACCAAATTGAGAGTCCTGGTTTTTTAAATAACTGAATAGCCTAGGGTTTGTCTGTTATTGATACCTTCTAATATACAGAGGGATTTATTTATTGTGCTGAATTAAATCACCAGCTCTTGAGACAGTAGTGTCTCCCAAAGATTCTTATCCTGCAGGGAAAAGTTACTACAATGGCTCCCAGCCTTAATAGTGCAGATGTGGTCGAGATCTGCCAAGGATGGGTAAAGAGAAGAAAAGAGCCTCAAGTTATACTTTTGACATCCTACATCTTCAAAAGATGGGCTTGTTACTTACAGTAAGCAGAAATAACCAACCTTTCCAGTCAGCTGCTGTAACTTCCTCAGCTTTTATATTACACAGGGTCCTTTGTGTAGAGAGCTTGCTTTCAATATCAATAAAGCTTCCCATTCAAAAGCACTTAGATGTATGACCAGTGTACCCTGTGAAAATAATATTATGGCCTCCATAACATCAGCTCATTCAATAGTGGCTCTTGCATTTTTATCAACCTGGAACATTCCACAACATGTATATCTTGCCCAGGAAAGCATGACTAGCATAGTATAAGGAAGAAAATAAAGCAGTATGTACAGATCACATCCATTAAACAGCTTATTTTAAGCAGGAGACTTGGAATCTGGTTTCATTAGCTTGTTTTCAGCTGGAGCTGTGCAAGTTCTTCTGGCTGTGGCCTTACCTGAGGGGGTTGCCATTCCCCACCTGCACCTCCTGGAAGTTATTGGCTCCCTGCAAACACAGCAGCTCTAGGGTACTGTTTCTAACCTAGCCCAGGCTGGGTTAAGCACTTCATGCATTCAGGTGTTTGGTTTGCTCAGTCTTCCACATAGAACATTTTGACAGCTGCTACAACCACACACTCAGAGTTATTCACCCATTATACTACAGACAGGGATTTGTTGCTGGCTCCAAACTCTCCAGGAACTAGTACATTTGATTTACTTCCCAGAGCATCCCAAAAAATCGTGTAAGGGAGAACTAGCATGCACTGGACCTTCAGCCTGTTCTCACAAAAAGTGGCACATTTTCTTAACCCAGGTACAGGCAGAGGATGTAGTGCTGGAGAGATAAACTCATGCTGAAAGGGGACTACTAAATATACTGATAAATCATTATCCAAGGACATTTAAATGCTCTTTAATTCCTCTTATAGGCAGTCTAATCTGCACTTTTTGCTTAGTTTGTAATATCTGGAGATGCTATTTATGAAACAATACATTGTACTACAAGAACACAAAAAAGGTTTCTCGTTTCCCTTCTGTCTTGTATAGAGGGACAGCCAACAGGCGACCAATCCATCACAAAGGTGTTGCAGCACCCAAAGGCCATAAATACAGTTTTGGGCAGCAGTGCCATCACTTAACAGGCATGAAAGGAAGCCAGTGAAGCCCTCATCTGTATGAATTTGACATTTCCATCAGTAGCACTCATTTGCCCTTGAAAAGAAAGTGGTTGTGGGAGAGAGGGTTGTTCCAACAGTTCTTGTTTCAATTTTTAAATATTTAATAGTCATTTCAATGGGAAATGATGCATGGATGAAAAAAACCAGAACTCCTCCCAGTCATACATGGAAACTCATTCTCTGTGGGACTGAGATCCTTTTGGCCCTGCTCTCATAGAATGGTTTGAAGGTTGGAAGGAACCTTAAAGATTGCCTAATTCCAACCTGCTGCCATGGTCAGGGACAATTCCCATTAAACCAGGTTGCTCAAAGCCCTATCCAACCTGGCCTGGAACCCTTCCAGTCATGCGGCACCCGTGGCTTCTCTGGGCAGCCTGTGCTCGGAGAACCTGTGCCTCACCACCCTCACATAAAGAACTTCCTTATAGCCAATCTGAACCTGCTGTCTTTCAGCTTAAAGCCATTATCCCCATCCTATCACTAAACACCCTCATATAAGGCTCTCTCCAGTACCCTTTAGGTACTGCAAGGTTTCTATAAGGTATCCCCAGAGCTTTTTCTTCTCCAGGCTGAACAGCGCCAACTCTCACCACAGGAGAGATGATGCTCCATCCACCCTCTGATCACCTGGTGTCCCTCCTCTGAGCTGGCTCCAACACGTCCATGCCTTTCCTGTGCTGGGGCCCACACAGCCGGACGCGGAAGGCCAGGCAGGGAGGGTCTCACCAGAGACGAGAGGGACAATCACCTCTCCCGGCTTGCTGGCCGCTCTCCGCCCTCCTCCTGCCCCTCGCGTCCCGCTGCTTTCCCTCAGCGCTCCCCGAGCCGGGCAGGCCCGGCCCAGGCAGCCCCGGAGAGCAGCCCCGGCCCCTCGGCCCCGGCTGTGCCGGGAGGGCCTGGCCCGGCCCAGCTGCCCTCGCACACGCAGCCCCTCTGTCCCTTCCAGAATGCTGTCCCTGCTCTCAGCAGCACAGCGTGCCTTTCCCCCCGCCCTGCCCTTCCAGCTGCAAACACACAATTCAATTACCACCAGCTTAAATTTATTGTTTAAAATGGCACTTGGGTTTAATGCTTTTTCAATACTTCTTTGTCATTTGAAATCAATTCATAAAACTCTTTGCACGTACTATTTAAATTAACTTTAATTCCAAGCCTTAGCAGAATCAATATTTAGCAGGTTGCTGCAATCCATCCCGGTCCATTGACACAGGGGGAGGCAGAGCCTGCTGCCCCACAGGCCGCCCCGTGCCCCCCAAGATGGCAGCCAGCTCCTGGGGACCCTCCGGCACCCGGCCTGCCACCGAGTGCCACTGCGTCCCCTCGCCCGCGGGCCCTGAGCAGCCCTTCTCCACCTTCTGGAATCGGTGTCGCCGGCCCAACACCATCAGTGGGTTCCCAAAAGGTCAGTCTGCCTTTATGCTTTTTACCCAGCTCTGAGAACAGAATTGGAGTAAGTTTTGTTTGATGCCCTCAAAATCACGGACTCACAGAACTGTCTGGTTTGGGAAGGACCTTAAAGGTCATCTAGTTCCAAATGGCCTGCCAGGGACAAGGACACCTTTCCACTGGACCACATTGTTCAAAGCCCCATCCAACCTGGCCTGGAACATTTCCACAGATGGGGCACCTACAGCTTCTCTGGGTAACCTGTTCCAGTGCCTCACCACCTTCTCAGGAAATAATTTCTCCCTAATATCTAATCCAAACCTGCCCTTTTTCAGTTTGAAGCTGTTTCCCCTGTTCTGTCCCTACATGCCCTTGTAAAAAGCCTCTCTCCATGTTTCCTATATGAAATGGATTAAATATGGGGAAATGGCTATAAAAGCACACACACATACATATATACAATTATTTTTTTTTCAATTTCACAAGGATGTGTTTGTATGAGAACTCTATTTATGAGCACAGCTTTTGTCATCAGTTTTTGGGAACCCAGCAATTAGCATACTATATCAAACTTAAGCACATACAGATCAGCTTGTTCTAATTCAAAATGATAAAAAAAACCACAATCTTCCAGCTCATATTGAAAGAAATATGAATAGTAGTCATTCACTGAAAGAGCCACTTTATCATTGTTAAGCTATTAAAAAAATGCAATCCTTGCCTCATGTTTACAAGCATCTAGTAATATGCAGTATTTTAAGACCCTTCAGTGGCATGGTAATACATTGAAGACTTACCTCTTCATTTTAACAGAAAAAGAATTTTAAAAAATGTCTTTTGTTCCAAAACTCGTTGGCTGATAAAGAAGTAGTAGCTGGTACCATCTATTATGCAACACTCAAGATCAAACAATGATTTTGTTATAGCCAATTATGAAAAATGCAAGTAGAACAATCATTTAAGCACAAATTTTCATTTTCTAATTTGTTTGTAGGCAGTGGTGCTTACTAGTGTTGGTATCAGCATTATCAGCTGTAGATAAGTGAAAGTTAAAAACACATGGTATTACTGTATCTTCACATTTTTTGAAGAATCTTTTTGCAAGTTCTGTTCTGTTTTGAAAATAGTCAAATAAATAACAACCCATTCTTCCATTAACTATATAGCAACAAACAAAGTGTTGCAATATTTTGATATTTCTGTGCTTTGAGGCATCTGGTGGCTGCAGACTAAGATATCAAGCACATCTTGAGGTTTTGGATTTTTTTAAGAAGCAAACAACATAATTGTAGCAACATAAAACAGGTAAAATAATAGAAATATTCTCAGTAAATAGATAAAAACTGCCTAATATAACAAAGATCTCTATATGACTTAGATCATCCAGACTTTCCATCCAGATTTCTTCCTCAACAACTTATGTGAGAGATCATGAAATAGTTTGGGTCTGTCTTCTCACCTCTCACTGTGATTCTGCTCAGATGTTTCCTTCCAACCAGTAAATCAATCAGTAGATTCAAGTGGTTTGTTCTGAATGTTTCCCATAATAAAAAAAAAAAAGGCATTTGAAAGCAGTAATTTTTTTTTTAACTTCTCAATTGAAGCAGAATTTCAGTCCCCAGTCGAGAAAACACAAATTTTAGTCCAAATAAAGAAGTGTGTTGACTAGCTGTCAGCAGGGATAGGAGTAACAGAAGGAGATGAGGACAGCATACTGGAGAAGCTTGCTGAATCTCCCTGCCATTGGTACTCTAAACAATGTTACTTCAAGCAAAGAAAAGACAAACAATCCTTACAAGGCTCTCATTAGAAGTAAGCACACTATTGCCAAGGCAGCCACATTTTTCCAGCAGTTTCTCATGAGCTCTGTGAACAGTACAAGTCACAGTAGCATAACAGTAGGTACCCAGCCATGCCTTTGCTTCACCTAGCTACAGCCTTGGGGAATTCAGAGCCTTATATTTCCCTGCTGGCAAAAGCTCTTTGTCTTACTGGCACATTAACTCAGTTCTGGCCCATCATGTATTCTAGCTGAGCTGACAACGTTCATACAGCCTTGAAATCTATCCACAGCCTCTGATTCGACTGAAGTTACGCTAAAATACATAACACGCCGTTACAATGCTTCTGATTCGCTGCTGCCTTTTAGGTAGTCTGGAGGAATTCACCTTGACAGCCAAAGGTTGCACAGAAACCTCTTTCCCTGCTGCCCAGGCTGGCCTGGAAGCTGCTTGGAGGGCTGGCTTTCTCCAGTGCTGCCCCAAGGCTGTAAGGTGGGGCAGGGTCCAGTGCAGCTGTGAGACTGAGTGCAGGCAGGTATTCCTTAGCAGAAAGAAATGCTCCTGAAGGACCTGGGGGTGTCAGGCAGAACCTCTGGCAGCACAGGAGAGCGTGGAAAACAGATGGAGTGAGAGCAATGATGTACATGCTTTTTCTGCCCTGCCTGTCTCCTCAAAGGACTTGTCCCACAAATGCCATGGGGGCATGGAAGAGATGCTTGCTAATATTTTTCTAAAATAATCTCTTTCACCTGGCTTGATGAGGTTTTTTAAAAGGTTAGTCCGACTAGTCTGAATTAAACTTCTTCCTCAAAAAATGTGTGATGCTAAAGAAATAGAAATTATTTGGAGGTATGGAATGGAGCCTGAAAATTATGAAGATTTTAGAAGTTGCATTGTGATAGGTTGGTGCTGATTTTAAAGCCACCTTAGGACAGTGCAAGTCCTTGCTAAAGTCATGTAATATAAAGCTGAATTTAAGAATATCATTAGAGTTCAAAATATCCTTAAAGGACTTTTGAATTTCACAGAAACTTAATAAAAACCAAAAACTTGGCTAGCATTTTTGTGCCAACCTCCTGCCCACAGGTAACAGCCATGGCCACTCCATGCCTCTAAGTACCTCAGCTTTACAAAATACTTTCCTATTTTCTGAAGCTCATTTTAAATGATGCAACATAGTGAAACAGCAAAGTTACGTCAATAATGGGGTTTTCTACATTTTTTTGATAGTTGTTTCTACCCTTTCTGCAGATTCTTTAGAGAAGTTGTATCAAAAGTGTAGAAAGCAGCACTCAGTGTGGAATACTTACTGCTGGCTTCTTAATTCTGTCTTATTTTCATTGAAATTCAAGCAAACACAGCCTTCATTTGATAGGATACTTACCATACAAAATAATACTAAAATCAAGGGGGGCGGAAATCCTTTGAACCTCAACAGAGAGGTGAGAACTTGACATTATTTTTGTCTTTGGTTTGAAAAAAGTCTCCTTAAAAAAGAAACGAACGTCAAAGGGAACTTCAGTCCAATAGGCTTTATTTGTTCTTTTCCAGCATAAAAATTAAGTTTTCAAACTCTTTTTGTTCTCATCTGAGTAATACATTATATTTGTTTAAATAACTAAATGTATAAATAATAAACATTTTGTAAATCTTATCTGAGATAGTGATATTGAAGGAAACTCTTTGAAGTGCAGATAATTCCCCTCATGGTCTCCTCCCCCCCGAATCTTCTTCAGATCTTGCAGAACGCTTTGCTGATTCCCCAGAGGCACTTTTGGTCCATTGAAGATTCTAGTTAAAGTAAAGAAAGATGTTTAAATCTTTTAACTGAGTTTTTGGGGTAGCACTAAATTAGAAATGTACATCTTTCGTTTTCCCAGACTTTTTCTGCTCTGTTATTTAAGCTTCAAAGTTCAGCTCACAGAAGAACTATTCATATTTCATATCTCAACTGAGGATCTCTTTCCCTTATTTGGTTTTTAGTTCTCAGGCAAGTGGAAGAGACAGATGCTATGAGCAGAAGAGTGTATGTGTCTGTATTGTTTGTGAAAAACACCCTGAGGCAAGGCATTCAAGCCTGCCTGTTTAGTTAGTGGGCTCCTGCTTTGGAAAGCTCACCTGGAGACATATGAAAGGTGTTCAACCCTTTGGAATGTCAATGGCTTTAAAACATTATGTGTTTGGTATCTAAAATCCTTCTGAAAATCTTCCCTTCACAAGGATCTCAGATCTCCTCAGCTACCCATGCCAAATGACCTGTGCTTTCTCACACTCATGCAAATATTAAGCAAGATGAGCTTAATTATTTATTGGATTAGAAATAACAAAGAAGAAAAGAAAGTCATTTTTGTTTTAAAGTGTCAATTTAGGAAGGCTTTTTAAAATTGTGTTTGTAGGAAATAGCAAATGCATAGCATGTTAGGATTACTGATTAGTTTAAAACAGTGAGTACAATAATCCATTATTTTAATTAGTTTTCCAAATTGCTTGCAAAAATAACAGAGAGATGTTGTCTGTGGAGAGGTAAATGCTTCCTTATAATTGTTTTGGATTTCGCTCTAACCTTTAATGAATTTATTCTTGTAATGACAAGTACATTCTTTTTATTCCTGCACTTATGTTAGGGAAGTTCACATGAAAGAATGAGGCATCTGGGAACTCAGCAGAGTTTTGTTTTGACAAATGACCTCACTGACCACGCTGACAAACACCAGCCGTATTGGTAAATGACCGAGCCACAGCTGTTCATGTCCAAACAGCTCTGACTCAAGCCTTCGCTGCCTCCCAATTGCCTGTTGCTGCCCCTTTCCTGGGCACCGGCTTTGTGTGAGCTCTTGAGACAAAATGAGCCAGGGAAGCTCACAGTGTGTGTTTCAATGGGTTACACCACCTTGGCTGATTTTGCCTGAATCTGATGGCCCGTACAAACTGCAGCAGCAGCAGCAGCAGAGACGCTTCCAGAGCAGGCAGCTGACCATGCACTGCCAGCCTTGGTGACCACAGAGCGTCATGAGAGAGAAATTCATTCCCACCAGCCTTCCCCTCCCCTTTCCAGTAACATTTAGAGACCATTCACAGTACCTGCTTCCCCGGGCAGAAATGCTCCTAAGTGGAGACTGTGCAGCCCTTTTGCAAAGCAGTTGTGAATTGCTCCCTCCTCTTTATTTCCATCTAAGCGCATTCAATGTGAAGACAACACTGAGTTAAATGCTGTCCTAACAATTCCTTTAGGCATTTGGCAGTGGTTGCCACAGGGCTACAGCCCTCCTGAGAGCTGGGTGTAAGAGCAGGTTGTGTGTGTGTGTGTGTGTGTGTACTGTGCAGCCCACAGCCACATGCCATCAGGAGGGTAGGCAGGATTTTTCAGACAGGGACACAGGGCCAGGTAGCAGCAAGGGAGGAGCCCTGAGTGAAAGAAGTTGCTGCATCACCTGTGGAATGAGAAAGATGAATAATGAAAGGGGCACTGGGTCAGTCAAGGCGGGAAGTGGGAGCAGAGTGAGGGTGCGCCAGTATTTTGGTCTAAGACAGGATATTCCACTTCCTAGAAAACATGACTTACAGTATGCTACCACAACACATGCATTGATGGGGCACCACACAGCACTCACACTTCCTTGGAATGTTGATCCTTTGGTCCACCAAAGACTCGCCCAATGTCTGGGGTCAGACAGGAGGACAGAGATTGTGGCATTGTGCAAGCTTGTGCTCTCCAGAATTGGTGCACCACTTGCTTTCCTGTTCTGTGGCTGCAGGCACCAGAGGCATCACCCTTATAAACCACAATTCCTTCACACATGTCTTGGAGGATGCGAGCAAGGAGGCAGAACATGTGAAAGTGAATGTCAGAGGGCAGTCAGTCCCCAAGACTCACTTTTTGTAAAAATATCAGCTTCATTTTGAAGGAGCCCATGAGCGAGGAACATTTTTCTCTGAAAATAAACAGATTCTCAGATTGCTTTGTGCTGTGCCAAATGATAGCGTAACCAACATTGGTCTTAATGCAAATTCACTGAAATAATCATGAAGCAATGGCTGCTTTGCAATAAAGCAAATGGTACAGTCTTTCTTACAGAAAAGCCTTCTGATAGTCATTTGTACATTCACATAAGCACCAAGTGAAAACCAGCCCTTCCATGGGCTTTCCCAGTTTAAATACAGTGTTGTATGTTTAGGGTTTGGTTTTATTCTTTTTAAATGTCTTCTGAAAAATCACAAATTTTCATCAGCAAGTAGTCCTCTCATATCAAAGTAAATGTGGGTCTGTGTATAAATGTTACCCTGCATGCTTCAGAGGCCTCTGAGTTTTGGTGTCTGGGGGAGAGAGAATTGCTGTCCACAGGAAGGGGAGTGATACTGCAGGAATACTATGGATATATAGATTATATTATATTATATTATATTATATTATATTATATTATATTATATATTATATTATATATTACATTACATTACATTACATTATATTATATATAATACTGGATGATACTGGAGGAAGGACATGGCTGGTATGGCTATGCAGAAATGGGTAGGGAAATAACGAGTACATGAGAGAGAAATCTGTTTAGTGTTAGTCTTCCTTAGTTTGTCCTGTGTTAAATCTCTGGAGCACTGACTTTGTCCTGTGCTGTTAATGCAAGGTCAATGGTTACTAAAGCACTGTGTCTATCATCTTCCAGCAAATCCCCCATTCTCACTTCAGTCACTGCCCTCTGATCCGCGTTCTCCTCTAGTTTCCTGCCCACCTTGTTTATCCAGCTCATGTTTTCACCTGTAGGTGATTCCTGCCCTTCACAGGTGGCACGGAGACTAAAATCTTTCATTTCCATTCTTGCTTATTCATGACTTTGTTCTGACAATGCTCCAGAACAAACAGTAATAGTACAGTTCATTACAAGTCTTAAAAACAAAGCATGTCAGAAATTAAATCAATGCAAATTGTCTTTCTGTGGGAATAACTACTCACCTCAAAGCAATTTTCAACCTTTTTTTATATTTATTGATTTTTTTCCTTCCACCATTACTTTGCCCTGTCATAATGTCCTGTGTTCTTGTACTGTGTTTTGACCTAATTTAAGACACAGTTCTGGGAGTCTGAATAAAGACATTAAGGTGTGGTACCAGAGAGTAGAGCTTATTCCTGACTACTTATTGCAATGTGTTATTGGGTGCACCACATGAAAATAAATCTTACTTTGCTGCTTACAAACCATGCCAATATCAAGGGTTTGCAATAATGCAATTACTCCAGTGCTGTGTAATTTCTCTTATATTCCAGGATCTACTGGATCCAGGGGCAAGGATCCACCTCTTGTTAATGAATAGTAAAACACCATGCCCATATTGGGTAGGTATAAATTGTACATGACAACACTTCCATGACTTTTTCCCCACACTAACTAGGACTGGACTCACGTGTGTTTCTCCTCTGGTCTCCTTATGGTGGCAGAACCACTCATCACTTTGTTTCACAGACTTTAACAATATACAAGGAGATATTTGGAAACATAACTGCCTCCCTAAGCATGTATAGCTAGCTAATCATTACTCTGATTTCACAGAGCACCCATGATATGTGGTATCACAAATGCTTCACTGAGACAGCCTCAGAAGAGAAAGAGAGTTTTGCATTGAGAAAACCTTGAGCAGAAGTTGGATTCACAGCAACAGAAGAGCAGTAAGTAAACAAGAGGTTGAGCTCAGAGGCTACAATAGACAACACTTGTGAAAGGCTGGAGGGAGGATATAGTCCTTCTTTCTCAGGTGAAGGAATAATCTGAAAGCAGCCTGTAGCCTTTAGAGATCATCAAATGTACAGACAGTAACCAGTAGGAAACTGAAATTTGCTGGTTAATATTACACAAACCTACTATTTTCCATTTGAAGAAGCTCCAGAAGAGCTCTGATGGCAACCACTGTCTGTCCTAAGGCATTTAGTAATGGAGGAACACATCAGTTCCAAACAGTTCCTGACTCAGTACCCCCTGAGAATGAAGAAATGAAACACTGTCTATAAGAATGTGAGGTTCCTGTTGCTTCATTTACACACTGCTCAGGTCTCAAACCTATTAACACAGCTCCAGGAAATCTTGAATTTCAAATGTCTGACTGCATTGAGCTTTGCACTTGACTAATCAAGTCAAACATTGTCTGCTAATCAGATTTACAGGTGTGAACCTGTCAGCGTGTGGGATAGGCCACGTAAACATGCAAAGAGATTCAGATAGCTGCCCAGCAGTATGTGAAATTACAACCAGACCAAGAGAGCTGAGTATTGGATTCCTCAGCTTCAAGCACACTGATAGAGGGATTGAGTGAATTACCCATATTTCCTTCCACACCGTAACTGCTATTTTAAAAATTCTGTTCCTCAGAGAAAAAAAATCTTCAAGTAATCCATATTCTTGGATAATCTGTACTTCCAAGAAAATGCCCAAAATGAGAGGCCAAAGGAGGAGGATGACAATATGTGGGATCAAAAATTGAGATTCTAGTAAAGAAGAGGCTCTTTGGGATAAAAATTTCCCTTGTACTGTTTGCACACAGATATTGCCTACACAGATTCTGACTAGTGTCCAGTACTGTTTAATTTGTTCATCAAGGACTGGGATGAAGGGACAGAAAAGCATCTCCTGGCTGGGAGGGGTGGCCAGTACCCCAAAGCGCTTTGTGGCTGTTCAGAAGTGTCTCAAAGGGCTGGAGTGGAACCTTTTGAAATTCAGCAAAGGCAATGAAGAGTCCTGCCCTTGGGGAAGGATAACCCTTGGCACCAGCACTGACTGGGAGCTGACCTGCTGGGAAGCAGCTCTGCAGAGAAGGAGCTGCTGGACACGAAACTGTCCTTGGGCCAGCAGTGTGCCCTGGTGGCCAAGAAGGCCAATGGCATCTTGGGGTGCATCAGGAAAAGCACTGCCTGTGAATTGAGGCTGAGGATTGATTCTGCCCCTCTGCTCAGCCCTGGTGAGGCCTCATCTGGAGTGCAGTGTCCCGTTCTGGGCTCCTCAGTTCATGAAAGAAAAAAGAACTCCTGGAGATTGTCCAGTGGAGGGCTACAGAGGTGATCAGGAGTCTGGCATGTCTCTCTTCTTAGGAAAGACTGAGGGAGCTAGGCCTGTTTAGCTTGGAGAAGAGACAGATGAGAGGGGATCTTATCAGTGCACACAAATATCTGAAGAGTGGATGTCAAGAGGATGGGACCAGGCTCTAGTAGAGCCCAGACACAGAACAAAGATAAGGGGCATAAACATGTGCTTTCAACAGTGTTTTTCATATGACTGCAAAGTTACTATAAAACTTTTGAAAGGAAATCAAGGCATATTTACCTTAAAATACTTATAAAGTCATTTATAAATGGTGTCTATTGTAGTACCCCAATTCAGACTCCATCTGTAGTTGCCTTTGACCATCCTGTACAATTAAACATGAGTGTTTTAAACTGGACATTATTAAATGTCTTGTACATCGTCTGGTGGACAATGTTGCCTTCCTGCCCCATAGGTTAATGCTTTAGGATGCTGAACTAAAAGAAGTAACAGACAAGAATTTTAATCTGTAATATTCCTAAAAGTGCCTCCCTCTGTAAACAAAATGATTAGATATGGTTCTGTGTAAAATACATTTTTAGAATATGTTCCTGGGATTTGGTTAGGTAGACAAACCTTACAGATAAGAGAGGACAAAAGACACATCCTCCAATTTATTGAAGCTGCATGGGGTTTAACTCTTCTATGCCTTTGTAAAATAGCATGACCCATAGTCCAGCATGGTTTACTTTATTTTTTCATTCACTATGATGTTGCTTTTCCTGCAATAAAAAAGAATTCTTCCTCTTAGAATTGATGGCAATATATAAATAGTGAATTCTCCCAGCATAAGCTATCAGCCGTCCAGAAAGCCAACTACATATAGTGCTCACCAGCACAGAGATCAAGGGGTAGAGATGGATATGAGTCAAAATATTGCTTTTGCATTCCCTCTTCAAGTCTAGTTTATTGCTGGCAGAGACTGCAGGAGAACCTTTGCACAAGATCTCCAGGAAAGTTATTCTACTGCAAACTGCAAAACCTGAACATTACTATAGTTATTACTATGACTATTACTCAGTTTAAACAGAGCCCATGCCTTGCTGTGTGACAACGTTTTATGGAGCTTTTTTATACACAGAACTGAGCCTGCTGAGATCTGAGACATTTCAGTATCTCCTCCAGGAAAATTATAGATTGCAAGTTTAATTGAGAAAGACTGACTATAAAGTGATCGCAGGAATTATTATGGCTAATTATATTTCTCCCTTAGTAATTAATAAACTCAAAAGTATTTTATACTTTGTTTGCTCTCAGTTCCAATGAAAAATATTATATATTTTCTGTGAACAAGAATAAATATTCTATTTAAAGGCAATAATACGGTTTGGTACCATGGTTAATATTATTTGTTGTATAATTATTTTATATATTTTTGTACTGTTTGGAGAAATTTCAGAAAAATGAAGGTTGCGATTTCTTCATAGCATTGGCAAAGGCAGGAATTAAAGAAACCTTATTTCTTCTCCATATGTAAATGATACAGAGTGCAGATTCACTGCTCTTTCCAATTTCAGACATAATGGAGGAGACCTATACAAATCTGTGGGTAATGTTGAGTTCTTATTTTAAAGCAAATATATTCTTGTCTAATACAGAAGAGGTGTGACTCATTTTGAATACTCGTGACAAATCATGCCCTATCTTCTAGGCTGTGCATATCTATTAATTTAGAAATGTTACAGAAGTGGCAAGTAAGGACTTGCTTTGACCTATGATGGCCAAGGGATTCCCACTAAAATATCTTAGCAATGAGACATGGCTAATTAATCATCAATAATGACTATGAAAACTTCTAAAATAATGTTTTTGGAGAAGTGTAACTTGACTGTATTAACTGTAATTGCAGCTGGTTAATTTCTTTGACTGCTAATTTCCTTACAATGCCTTTTTTTTGTGTGATTTTTTGGTTGGCTGGATGATTGTTTGGCTGGTTGGTTTTTTGGGTTTTCTTTTTCTGAAAAGATAATTTACTGGATACAAATTCCCCAGCAGCTCTAATTTCCTCTTGAGGCTGTGAAGATGAAGGCACAGTCATTTCCAGAATGAGTGTTGCCGGTCTCAAAAAGTATTTTCTCCTTTTTTGGCAGGGGATATAGAAAAGAAGATACATGAAATATATTGAAGGTGAATATAAAATTCAGAGTATCTGTTACCTGAACTAATAAAATACACTGAACAACTGTCCTTGCTTCACTAGTTTACAGCAAAGAGCTGAATCTGTGAGTTTTAACTGCATAAACTGAAAATGCTAAGCCAACTGAAATCCCATGTGACTTCGACCTTGGCTGGAATCGTGTCATTACCGAGAATTTCCTCCCTGGTTTTACTATTTTTAATGGTTTCTTTTCAGTCTGTGGCTTTTGGCATCAGAAAGGCAGCTTTCTTTGTGAAAGTAACCTTTTTCATCTTAAAATTGCTGACAGAATATGAAAACAGAATCCCTGCTTTACTAAAGTATTTATCCCAGATTATTCAGGGTTTTTCTAACCTCATAATCTGTAATGAAGTTTCATAGTTTCTTGGAACCCAGCCTAGTACTTCTGGCTGTTATAGTGGTTGTTGTTTGCTGTTCTGCTTTGCTTTTTTGTTTGTCTGTGTTTGTTTGCTGTTTGATAGTTCAGTTGGGTGGAAATAATCTTGTTAATTTAGTGAATTTAGCCAAATGGGTAAAGCAGCAAAAGCAGAATAAGTACTTACCGTTTTATTTAAGATTTTTTTCTAACTATTGATAAATCTGATATCAGCACACATTTACAATTTAGCTTGAGCACTGTTATCTAGTGAGAGTCTCCATCTCTGCAAGGATCTTTCATGTCTTTACAAAAAGTAAGAGGTGGAGAGGCCTGAGAGGAGTAGGAAATCCTTCATGAACCCAGAGTGTGCAGCATGTGATTGCATGGAGGTACACATCACAGGTGAATGTGCACATTATCCTTGGGAATGCTGGTAGCCATCCCCCACGCTGGGCAGTTAACTCTGATTTAGCTGTTCCTCACATCCGCCACTCCTGTGACACAAAGATGACAGTGTGCCACCCACACCTAACTAGCAGAGTAAGAAAGGTGGAAAAAATGACAAGAGTGAGAGAAGTCAGGGAATGACTTCCAAATGAGAAGCAACTACACTAGCATGGTTCTTTCTGGGGAAGCAGTGACCAACATTGTTGACAATCCAAATCTATGAGATACCTGAGGAAGTGAACAAGGAATTGCTTTTTCAACCCAAGAAATAGGTGCTGCCACTGGAACTAGGAAATGGCTGGTGGAAAGCAGCAAGAAGAAATGCTTTTTAAGGAAATGTCATTTGGATCTCCTCAGGTAGAAGTCAGAAGTTTATGAGTTCCAAAAGCAATTAACTAGATTTGCAATGAAAAATTTGTGATGCTACCTCTGGCTTTAAAAGTACCTGTGTTCTTATATTGTGCTCCAGGCATCTGCTGATAAGAGATAACATTGCATGCTAGACAGATTTCTGCTATGTTCTTTCAGCGCTGCTCCTCTCAAGGTGCAATTGTAGCCCGCAGTTCAGATCCATGATTGCAGCGTGATGGCAACTACAACCTCACAGGGTTTGACATAGGCTGAGGAGCCCA